TCACGTTGTCAACTGTGAGAGAAGAAAAAGATGGTTTAGAAGATGTTTTATGTGTTCTCTTGAGTTCATGAGAAGTTGCTTACTATTTTCCGATAACGTCTTCTCAGCTTTTCTGATCATGATTTCCAGTTTGTTCAATCGTCCGGGAGAATTCGCTTTGAGGATTTTATCTTGATACTTATGCTCACACTTGATGACTTCCTCCTCGGGCAAATTAAAGTTAAACTTGTCCACAAGAATTTCATACCGCTCCAGAATGTCCTCAACAAGCTTCATAGCTTCACCATGATCATCCAGTTCATTGTCCCTCCCAGGATCGATTTCATCTCCCAGAAGAGTCAACTTATCATCATCCTTGAGGAAGAACTTCAGCGCCCTGAGACGCGAGATCAGCTTATTCTTCCTCTTCATCACTTTCTCCACCTCCTTGCAGCTCTTCAGCTGTTCAACTCTCTTCGCCGCGATCTTCTGACGCAGTTCGTCAATTTTGCCATCTCCTGATTGATATTCCACGTCAATCTTGTGTACATAGCTGTCGTGCTGCGCCTCAAGTTCCTTCCGCCTCGCGATGAGTGACACACGGGCTTCCCGAAGACGTTCGCGATCGGCCGTGAGCTTCCCAGCTTCCGGAAGTTGGTGCCTCAATCTGGTGGGGCGTGCGCGCATCAGGCAGATTTTGAGAGATTGCCCAGAAACGCGATGATGAGCCAAGTGCATGCAAGAGGAAAGAAGCATGATTTTCACCCACAGCACACCCATAATGATGGCGAGAGTGTGAGAGGAAATGGAGCAATTGTGCTCTTTCCTATTACCTGGCTTCAATGTCTCCCAGCTTAAGGCATCGCGTTGCATTCTGCAGTGATCTTATCTTTAGCTGTGCTTCCTCCACACGAACCTTCAGCTCTTCAATTGTCTCATTCATCTTCTGATCTGGGCTCTGCGGCTGCTGGACGAGCTTTGGGCAAAGGAAAATGGCATTAACGCAAAACATTCACAAAATTACCGTTCATTCTAAGCGCACGCACACACTCCAAACCACACCCAATTCAGCACTTTCAGTGCTAAGTATCACGATGCGTGCTGTGCGTGCAGAAAATGAGTCGCACGCGAGAGCCGCGAGGGTGGTGGTTTGGAGGTCACGCTTCTCTCACGGCTACCTGGTTTGCTATCTCCAGTTCACATTTACGCATCAGCTCTGCGTGCTGGTCTTTCATCTCGGAATGTCGCTGCCAGTGACTTTCCAGCCCATCGTGAATGGCTGTGTAGCGACGATTGAACTCGCTCTTGAAGAAGGACAGTCGCTCAAAGCAATCCTTCTTAATGATCTCCACTTCTTGCGTATGAAATTGCATTTCCACCATATCATCTTGCAGACGAAGCAAATCATATTTGGCTTTACGATTGTCCTTTTCCAGCTGATTGATCATTTTCTTGTACGACACATTGACAAATTGGGCAGCTTTGATGAGTGTAGAAACATCCTGGAACACCACGGAATTGATAAGAACGAAAGATTATGATGAGTGATTTAGATGGCATTTACCTGAAATTTAACATATGATCTTCTCGCTGCGATATTCATCTTGGGATGACTTCCCTTGTTCTTGAGTATCATCTGAAGATCAAACTCAACAGCCGAAAGAGTGTTTCTGAGCTCTAATTTCCGATTTTGCACTAGATTTCTGTTATACTTGAGCTCTAGCACTGCACTTCTCATCATTTTCACGATATCTTCATGCTCGCGAGACTGAATGTGTTGCAAATTGGCCGGAAGATTCTTGAGAATGTCGCAATTGCGCAGATCTTGCGTTCGCCACACTCTGAAGATCGCCTTCTGTTTCTTCTTCACGATCTTGCGCCTCTTCTGAATCTCATCTCGGACGAACCACTTCTCGATGGACTGCTCGTGGCGCTCCACGGAGAGTCCTCGGTCCTGCAGCTTCACGAAGTCCTGCCACAGGGCGATTTTATCCTGCTTCGACCACGAAGCTCTTCCTCCGGCGTCGCCCAGTCCGATGTTCAGTTCCATCGCGGAGAAGATCAATTTGTCTGCCCTGTCTGAGGATTTTATTCAATAGTCTCACGACATGGCCTGCTGCAAATGCCAGGCGTGGAGCGTATTAGATAATGTCTGGATAAATTGATTCGATTATGGGATTATTTAATCTCGGGGCGCAATGCATTCGCCATCAATCATTTTATCACTTTGGGAATAATTAGATGGACTCCATCGTCCCTAATGATCACCCGCGATGCGCCGCGTGGGCTTCTGAGCGATCACTCGGAGATCACGCGTCCGGCAAATTGATGGGAGATCTGCAGGCACGGCATTTCTGGACGCTTCAGCGATTCACGACGGGGTCGCCGACTGAGGTCAGGAGATTGCAGGCGACACCAATTGTCCCGGGATCATCGTGCTCGAGATTTGCATTTCCTGGACGAAGAAAGTGGCTTTCGTTTTCACTGGCAATTACTCCATTGCAAAATGTGCGCGCCCAGCAGAATTGGACCGATCGCGCGGACTTCACGCCGGCGCCAAAAAGTTCTTGTGCACCAGAAAAGTATGTGCACAATAGTAGAAAAAAAAATCTCGGAGGAAATTAGCTGGCTGAATTGCGGGAAAAATTGCCAATAAGGTGAAAATCGCGCCAGCTTCCCAGCTCTATGGGGAATTGTTCATGAAATTTCTTGCAGAATATTCTTGCGAAAGTGTATCGCTCTCACAAGAAATTTCCGAAGTACAATCTTGCAGAAGTAATTAAGTAATTCATCTGGAGTCTATAATTTGAGCCGCTGAGGCGCAACTCTGCGTTCTGTGTGGCGTCCGGAAGCCTTCCGTCGTGCGATTTCCCAACGCCCGCGCGATTGTCCTGATAGCGACGGCGGGATTTCGCCAGCGATGGAGCAACCGCCGGAGGATTTCCCCATTCGCGGATGATTCCGGGCGCAGGAATTGAGCTGGACGTTTCGCAATAATTATAAATAATTTTCCCGGGAGATTGAGCATATCGCGATTGCTGGCGCGAGCAATCATCTGCCGGCCTCTTTATGGCCACCTCGTCAGTGCAACTCGTGATGCTGCGATGGTCGCCAGATTACAGGTTTTCTGCCCAATTGTTGCCGGCCAGGCTCTCATTTCGGCGTGCATACTTAATTAGGGAATTTCTCCTCGTTTGCTCCAAATCCTCTTCTCGTAAATCATCAAATGTCTCACTGCGTGACTCCGCCAGAATCGCGCGCGCGCGAGAAAGTTGATCATCCTCTCTCTCGCTCTCGAGGGGAAATTGCACGATCTTGTGGACACTCCTCGCGGGCAATCTCTGGTCACTGTCCACGACGTGTGAACGAAGATGCTAAGTCGATTACGACATTCTCGTGCTCTTCCCAGACCTCTAGCGGCCTTTCTCACCCACTCAGTCGCATGTGACGTCGCACGCAACCATGCATCGCCGCATTCGTGTCTCTCTCACTCCCGATGCGCTCAAATGTCTCTGCTCGCGGCGACAGCACAGCCAATAAATGGGAATATCTCAGCAAAATTGATAAAAGGACGTCACGAGAAGCGAGCAATTAAAAATGACTTAAACATGCAGATGAACATGAGTCGATGGCAGATATTTTCCTAATGTTAAGAGTCAAATTCACGAGAATCTCTAGAACACCTTCAAGGAATTCGACTTCATAAACTGTCATTGGAGCACGGTGATTGAATCTGCTTGTGAGACAACTTTCTCCTTGATCAGATTCACGTCTCAGATTTCCTGGAATGCGCAAAAGAGCTCAAATCGAGTGCCAGTGATAAGCGAAACGTGCCTATCGCGCCAAGCGTCCAGCGAACGTGCAGAAATGACAAACTCACGCCACTCACAGCTCAGAATAAAAATGCACGATCAGCCGGAGATGGCATCAGTTAGACAGCATGACTTCCACACTTCTGGTGCTCCTCAGCGTTCTCGCCGCCGCCGCGGCTGGTGTGATTCCAGAGATTCCCTTTGAGCCAGCGCCCGTGCATGAGTTGAAATCACATTACGACACCCACATCCCTATTGTTGATGACAGCCCGATCATCCCAGTGCCACACTTCGACCACGATATCACCAAGGAAGAGGAATACGCCCTCAAAGCAGTCCCTTACGCAGCCGATGTGCCACTAGAGGAACACTATCATGTGGATCACGTTGTGAAACATGCAGAAATTCCTATTGAGCACGAGAGTTTGCACGATTTGATTCCCGACAAGCCAGGGATTCCTTCTGGAGTGCCAACTGATTTTCACAAGCACATCGACTTTCCTGGTCATCTTCATGATCATCATGGCGAGATCAGCGCCTACATCCAAAAGATAAAGAAATTCTTCCCATAGAATCTCTGGAAGCACAATTGCTTGACTCCATGAATAAAGGAAAGCCTTGAGACAAGCTTTGAAACAGAAACAAAACCCTGCATTTTTCTCCTGAATTTAGGCCACCGCTCTAGGCTAGAGCGCTCTAGAGCAAAGACACTCCATTGTTTTGATTCAAGCTACATTTATATATTTCAATTTTCCCTTCCATTGAAACTCCTCTCTCACAATTTCCTCCCGAGAGAAGCGTCCTCGCGCGCCTCCTTCCTTTGTCACTATATTTTACACATGTGATTTTCATGAGGTCTCCAAGCATCTCTCCCGCCTCATCATCTGCACAGGCTTTCTTTCATCCACTGCCATTCTCTGTGTTCTCAACTGACTCCATGCATCTGCCCTTAATCGCTCCCTTTTGTATTTTACGTAACACATTGTCAATATATATACTATATATAATATATATTTCATATCTCTTCATCTTGTATTTATATTTGATATAATTTTTTTCAGTAATTAATGCAATGAATAAATTTGCGTAATCTACGTAATAACTTTTTCTTCTCCCTTTCCTTCTTCTTCTTGCAACACGTTAACATAAAATACGTTATATTTGCATCTTTACTTTTTCATGTTTTCTCATTTCCATACTTTTTTCATATATATATATATATAATATTTATAGTCCATATACATATTTTTTTATTTATTTTATCTCTTCAATAAATTTCTTTGTCTCTCTACAATTTCAATAATTAAACGTAAAAAATAATATATATTCATCTCTATAAATATTCCTCGAAAATAATTCTTGCGGGAGAGGGTGGAAAAAATAATAGAAAAATATATATAATAAATCATTTATATACAATTTTCGTATGTATAATTAACTTAGAGTAAATTACTTCATTCACTATTTCTCACTATGATTCAATCAAAGTCAATAAGAATATTTTAGTCATTCTTTAACCACTTCCTAATAATCCATATCAATTATTTCAATTCATATTTCAGTGTTTCTTCTTCCATCCACTGAAAATTCCCTTCAATTATAGCTTCTTTCTCTCTTGTGTGTGATTCATTTCATTTCATTTTTTTTTTTTGATAAATTTATTGTCGAGGAACATTTTGCATCATTAAATATCTTCTTCTTTTACTTTTTAGCAGTTTACATCTTTACAATTTTTTTTCCTTCATGCTTGTGAATTAAGAGAATGCGAAAATAAATAATTAATTCATGCATCAACAAATGACGTTGTTAAACCATGTTCTGTTTTGCCATTTCTCTATCGCGTGTGTTTGTCTTCCCAAAAAATATAACACCATCGATGAAAAACTAAATCACAAAAGAGTCAGTATTCGATTAAACAGACAAATCTTTTGCAGTCTCACAATTATGCATATCTTTAGCGCTCCACTGCAAAATGGCACAATTATCTCTAACTCATTCACATCTCCCTTATCGTCAACTACTCTGTGTGCCAATCGACTTCAACTACGTTCTACAGAAAAGATTATACATCCTCTTAAATTACATCCTCACTATTAAATACTGAATGACCATCTTTTTTTCATTTATTTAATGTTTTCTGCAGAGAAAAGATAAAACGTTGCTCTTCACTATCGCTTTTGCTGAAGTAAAATTACTGGAATGATGATTTTTACTAACATTTCTCTTCACCTTTCTTCTATCTTCTTTTGGTGGTCTCAACAAGAATTCTCCCTCCACAATTCCACGCGGTGATGAATGTACAAGAAAAATTACGTAACAATGAGGCAAAGGAAAAATCTTGATGCAATTTGCATCCTATGCACAGAAATTCGTTTCGAACGTATCCCTAAATCCATATCAAATGAAAGTCCCTCTCTAAGTGGATTCTAAATTTGCTGTATAGAGATGTTCAATGATTTTTTTTTTGTTTTGTTTCAACAAGAACTTAGATTCTACTTTCTCTTCTAGAGAATTTTCTATTCTCTCTCGCTCTGTTCTCTCTGGCTCTCGTTATTTCCAAGAAAAATTGAGTTGCATTCCTTTCTCGAACCCGGACGAATAAATAATTAACTGCAAAGATGGAAGAATGTTGCATCAATATTGATTTGGCCTCTTGTCTGGATGTGACAGAACTCACCTGTGATTTGAGTCAGGACACCCCCTTTAGAGGGCTCCAAATGGATCAAGCTGGACATTGGCCTGCTGAGGAACTCCAGTGGGAGCCTGAGTGGGAGCCACCTGTCCCTGAGGCACCATCATGCCCGGCGCCTGTGGCTGTGCCATCATTCCCGCCATGCCAGGCTGTCCTGGCATCATTCCCGGCATCGCACCCGCCATCGGAGCCCCCATCATCGGTGGTCTCATGGGCGCCATTCCCTGCTGCAAAGACAAGAGAGCACGAATCACAATCCAGCGCCTCCAGCAAGTCACAACGCGCAAATCCACCCTCAATCCCAACACCAACAGATACAGATAAGAACATGTGTAGAAAAGATTCACAACAGACAACAACAACAACATAATACTGTCAGTCGCATTTTATCGCACTGAAGCACGCACAAGTAGCAAGATAATCGAGTTCATCCGATAAAATGCATGACACAAATCACCATCCAAAAAGAAGGAGAACGATACACAGAGATAAATAGAGAGATTTCCAGCACCGCACTTTTTTGTCTCTTCGCTCTTTTTCCAAGAAAACATTCACAGAAAGAAAAACAACAACAACAAACTATGACACACGACAATATAGGAGAGAGTTAATCATCTCCACAATGTCTCTGATCTTACCTGATTCAGGAACGGTGTCATAGCGGGAAAAGGAGCGTGTACTAACGGATGTATTGTGCTGGGACTTGGAGGAACTGGCATGCCTTGCGCCTACCACACATAAACATAATAACCGAAAAGAAAAAGAAAAAAAAATTCGCGGAAAATGCAACCAAAATGTTTAACTTTCAAATCACAACAACAACAAAATTTGTATTAGAAGAGAAAGTGAGATTATATATAAAACTAAATAAGACAGAGAATTAATGTGAAGTCATAAAGTAAAGAATTATTTACAGTAGAAGAAAAAAAATTCTCTTTGCAAATCAAAATGTTCTCTTTTCTTCTTCATTGAGAAAATTAGAGTCGTTAGAAAAATTATAAGTAAATACAATTTACAGTGCCTTATATTGTAGTGTGTGTCTCTCTCTCTCTCCCTCTCCATTCCATGGCAAGACTCTCTCCAGGGAGTTGTCTCAAAAGTGCATAGCGAGCAATATAAACAGTACTAGCACTCACCATTGGACGATATCCTGCTCCAGTTGTCGCCGCCATTGGCTGTGGTGTCCAATTTGCCCCCGGCTTTGCCGCATTCTTCGGGGAGTTCCACTGCATGCCGCCCCTGAGAGATTAGAGAAGAAAGTTAGCCAGCTTTCGCCCTGATTAGCTTAGGCGGTCAATTAGGGATGTGACAGACAGGATTGCGAATTATATTATCCTGACCACTAATCTTAGTCCCTTCTCATTAAATTCTCCCTCTAGTTGATGGTAAAACCACTTTACTTAGTTACTCTCCTTTCACAACAAACTAACTTCAGCAGTGCTTAATTCAATCAGGATTGCATCTCAATCTCTATACTCACTTCACTTGAGCCGAGGCGCTCTTGTTGATGGTGAGATTTTCAGCGAGAGATGCCAAGGAGCTGTCCAGGTCGCCGGTGAGCACTTTGCCTGTCGCCGACGTGGGCTGAGCCGCCTGGCCAGCCGCCTGTGGACCTGCAGATGGGAGACCACTTGTTTGAGCCGTGAGACCAGCTGCACCACCGAGAGTGCCCGGTTTTAGTACGTCCCCCAGTGCATCGAACCCTTTTTGCATATGCGGCGGATGCGTATTTTTTGTCATGTCACATTTCATCACCAGCGCAATTTTGGGCGTGTGTGGGCGGATTATTCCGTAGTCCATTCAATTCATATGGATTTATATGTAATATGCCAAGTACCATCCCAATGCCAACCCCACCAGAATGTATGAGGCGCGGGGTTTTATATATTTTACACAGTATACATTGTGATGGTTAATTCACGCACCACCCAATTTCAATGCACCCCCACGTCCACGATGACGATGGTATTTTGTTCGAGGGGGTTTTTGGTGGTGTGGATACATTCATTTTTTTAGCATGATGATGTGTTGTGTTGTGTGGTGTTGTGTTTGTATGTGCCAGGGTAGATTTTGTCATGTTCATTATTTTGTGGGCGGATGACGAGAAGGGAGGGAAAAAGAGAAAATAGAAATATTCCATTAATATGTGTGTTCTTGTTAGTCAAATAAAATTAAATCAAAGGGAAACAAATATATTTATATATAATATAATCTAGTCGAATTTCACTAAATATGGACAAAACAACCAAACCCACATGTTAAATGAGGACTTTAATAGGGTTAATAATTTTAAAAAAAAAATCCTTCTTTCTATGGCTTTCATCTAAAAATAAACAACACTAAGAATGTTAGAGACTTGAGAAAAAAATGAGGTATGATTGTGATTATAAAGTGTTATTCATATATGTTCTAAATAAACAAATAAACCATGAGTGATGACATCATTTTAGTGACTAAAGTAAGAAAAAGAACATAATAACGAAACATATAACATGGTGAATAGATGTTTGTGGTGCACAAAAGAAGAATAGTTGTTATCTCAACTCTCCCAACCTCTCGCAATGTGACAAAAATTAATGAAATTTTACTTCTAACCCGCAATACGTGTGTGTAATTTATCTGTGACCCAACAATGGCTAAAGAGTGCCTACAGAAGCTAATGAATCCTCTCTCTTTCTCTCACTGCTATGTATGTCATCATTCTTCTGCCAGAAAAAAACTACCATATACTAATTAAGAGACTCTATATCTACTAACCTCTCTCGCTCTTACTTCTCTAATTGTGTATATGTTAAAAGCATTTCAACAACTGGGATAAGCATTGTAAAAGCATTTTCACATAACACAAATCATATTAAAGAGAGACAACTTTAAAAGAATCTCTATCTCAATGTCTTAAGAGCACTTCTGTTGTTCAGTGTTGTAAGAAAAAAAATCAAAGAGGAAAAGAGGATGAATTGTGGAGTAAATCATAGAATGACGAGAGATAAGTTGATAATAATGAAAAGCCAATTGAGCAGCAGTAACTTAATTCCTTCTCATCCTCAAACTCTCTCTCTTTCTCTATTTGTCCCTCTCGAGAAAAGCACTAGGAAACAGTGCGAAAAGTGATGAGAAAAAGAAGCACGATGATGATGAATGATTTCTCTTCCTCCAATTCCAACAAGTGGAAAACACATGAGTACCTCAAACGATGGAGCGCAAAATAAAGTCCGAAATCTACTAATAGATGCACGATAGATAAAGAAAAAAATGGATGAAATGGACAAGAAACACAGACAAGGACATTGAGCAAGCAACAAAAGCAACGAAACAACGAGACCTCCTTGGACAAGTGGCTGCTTAGCGGGCGACGCAAAGACAGCTGCTCCACCAGGATATCCGGACGCCACAGCGGAAGACGGCGGCATGGCTGGCATTTGCGACTGAGCTGCGGCCACCTTCGCGGGCGACTCCGTGCCCAACGCCATGCGGATGGTGTCATTGAGATCGTCAAAAGCACTCTTGGCCGGCGAGGCTGTTCCCGGCGGCGGCGGGCGTCCGGGTGGACCAGTCGCTCTGCCAGCCTGCGCCTGCCCTCCACCCACACCACCACCTCCACCACTCACACCCAGATCATCACCTTGCTTCTGGCCCATCGCCGCTCCACCGTCGCCCAGCATGAAGGGATTCTCCATGGCTGCGTGCAACGATAACCATCGCGGGAGAGATTACGTGCGTGCCAGAGGATATCATTTCGTCCATTTTCAACACAGTGTTCAGGATGGGGAAGATGAAAGAAGAAGAAAATGATGAGAAAGAAGCACATTCCTGAAATTCTCTCTACCAGTTCCAAGAGGATCCTCTTTTTGTCTCAACTCAGGGGTTCTGTGGTCGGGTCAAAAACTCAAAGGTCTTCTATGTGGAGGGAAATGCTTCAACATGATTATCCCACGTGCATTACTTTTCATTTAAATCCATATATATCGTTATCATTGTAAAACATTATCCTGAGCAAACTTCTCCTAAGGTTATAACAGTCTCTCTTTGTCATATTCAAACTTTCATGCACTACCGCATATCAAGTTAGAAATTACTCCCATATTTATAATATCATTGGCTTTTGCAAGAGCGGGGTCGAGGGATATACATTATTATATGCCTTACGATGGAAATTAATTCACTCTTCTTCGTGGGTTAGAAAAGGAAAAGATATAATGCTGTGATTCTCACACTGCACTCAAAATAATCACGTGAGTGATGATCTCTATGTTATTCTTCGCAATCTCCTCCTCACGATACTCACCAGCAGGTTCTGTTGATCCAAACACTGAGGAGAAATTGCTGTCCGAGACGAATGTGTTGCCTCCTTGTGGAGCAGCGCCAGCTGTTCCATTGAATCCTAATGTGGGAAACAGCACACAGACAAGACACATGTTAATGCTGATATTTTTTCCCGATAACCACAGCATATAGAATGTGTGATTCATATCAGAATAATTTTTGATGTTTCACACATAATTCTTCCACGAATGAGATTGACAAATAAAATCCGAGAAATTGCGGGCAAATGGAAAATGCCTGTCTCACCATTGCTCATCCACATATTGCCAGCGGGCGCTTGCTGGGCCATGCCGGGCACCACAGGAGCCGCCGTGGTGGCAGTTGGCGGTGCCGAGAAGATGTCAGCGAAGGGATTGCCCAACTGGAGTAGATCATCCGAGGCCTTGGACGATGCTGAAGGAATGGCTTCACTCGCCTTCGCCGCGCCCTCGCCACTCGGCGAGCCCCCGAACAGATCCACAATCGGGGCTGACGTCTGTGTGGCCGGTGGTGATGATAGGAAGGGATTTGTGGATGAATTGGGGCCACCGGGTGACGAAACTTTCGACTGTAAGCAGGAAAAGGACATTGATAAGTTAATAAAAGCAGATTAATAATGTGAAATGCGGCAAATTTAACTCAATTTAGTTCAAAAATTTGCCCAATGAAATCCTAATATTGTCAAAACTTCAATTCAATTACTTAATTCTCGAAATGTGGATATCTTTTAGCGAATTATATTAAATTGATTGTCATTGCTTTAATTATAGCAATGCGAAAGATCTTTAAATGAGCCTAAGATCATCAAAAATACGGAAAATCCCTCTCGAAAAGTCCTTCTTTTGAATATCATTGGATAGTTTCGCGATCTTTCTCAAATGAACTAAAAAAATTGAAGAAATTATATTTTTAATGTGCTGAAACTTGCACCAGGTCAACAATTGACCCTTTTCGCAACGACTTTATCAATCGCTCACAGAGTAAAGCCGGCGATTCGCACAGCAAGGCACTGCGAAAAGGGCAGCAATAGGGTTCTGTTTCCAGCTATGGTCAAAAGGTTGAGGGAGCAACACACCTTGTACTGGTTCATTGCGGCTTCCTCTTCCGCCAGCGCCTGGGCCTTGAGCGCCTCATCGATCCCATTTGTGTGATTATCAAATCGTGCCGACGCTGCAGCCGTTCCAAACGATGAACTGGTAGAAGAGAGGGCAGACACACCACTCTTTACGTTCTTTTGGTTGCTACACAATCATTTTTTGTTGTTGATTGTATTGTGTGCCGTGTATTCGTGTGTTGGCCGTGATGGTGAATTTGGCGGGGGTGGATTTGAGGTGTGATAGGGAGCAATTGTTCACAGAAAAACATATATATTGTGAAAGTGTGTGTTGGCAGAGTTTACAAATACCAGCAACACAGGGAATAAAAGGAAATTAAACAATCAACATAGTATTTTCAGCAGCAAAAGTGTGACAAAGAGGAAAAAAAAACATTAAATGGTCAAATAAAGAGGTAAAAGTAACGTTTCAAGCGGTGTTACAAAATTAAATTTTAAAAAAAATATATCGTCAAAATTGTTTACACAAAAAATATCGTTCAATTTACACGGTTGACCAACAAAATGAATACGCAAATTTACACCAAGAGTTTAACAATAAAGTTACACACAGAAAAGTTTTTTTAAGCAAATTGCACACACACAATATATAGGATGTTTCGTTCACGTGAAGGGAGAACACAGGTTGAGAGATTTGTCGAGGTTGAGGAGAAGAAAACAAATCGGGAAGAAAAAAAGAGAAATAAAAGAAAATTATTACTATTGTGAATATCACTAGGCTAGATATTACATCACTATTCTCTAATGAAAAAATATATAATGCCACAATTGTGCTCTACTTTCAGATAAATGATATACAAATGTATGACTAAAGGTATGTCTAGACTTGACTTCACGAGCAATGTGCATAAAAACGTGTGTTGCGAGATGGAAAGAGAATAAAGTAAGTGTGTACCTCGCTGTCTGAGTGGGTGTATTGGCGGCTGAGCCCTTCTTGCCCTCCAAGAACGCCAAATGGCCCTCCAAGGCGTCCAATAGAGAGCTGGGCGCCTTCGTCAAGTCCGGCAATTCACCCTTATCAATGCCCATATTCTCCGCCACCTTCAGGAACTCCCCAACGCGATCCATCCGCACCAGGAACTTCTTGTACAAGTCCAGAGCATCGCGACACTGCTTCTTGTTCATGTCAAAGTATTTCTCCAGCAGATTTATAATGCCATCATTGTAGCATGCAAACAGTCGAATAAGATCGCGAAAGAGTAGCGTGAAGCACATACTGATAACACCTGTAAGAAGCGCATATTCGAAAGAAAAAAAGGGTCAGACAATGAGAGTGCATGCGAGACATGCTCACAACACCAACTCACCATTTGTCAGGTCATTCGCTGTGCAGTCAAACTCGAGGAGAGCATCAAGCTGCGCCTGAAGCACCGGCAGAGTCTTCAGCAATTTGTCAGCATTCATTGTCCTGATGGTGCCCTCCTCCTTGCCACGCTTCATCTTGCAGAAGTCAAAGGCCACTGTACGGTAGGACAATGCCTTCTCGTTTAAGTATTTTGCATATCGCCGAATAAAGGGCGACATATCGTATCCTTCAAGAGAATGCCAGAGAAGAAAGGCAATTCAATACAAATTAAAGACAAATTCAGCGCAATCCATTCAAAGACTCAAAACACAGGGAAAACGAAAACTATACAAAATATCAAAATATATTCACAACTCTCTCGTTCAATACAGAGCGCATATAAATATTTAAGTAACTGTCTCTTTCACAGGAGTTACTCAACTCTCTTTCATAACAACCATCTTTAAAAGCCTCTTGCTCTCTCTCTTCACCTCATCTTCGTCTCAGAATAATTTTACCATTATAAATAAAATTAGACGGAGTCGCAGAAGAAGTATACACTTCATGTAAAATTAAATAATAACTACAGAAGAGGTAAGAAAAAAATGTCAGACACTTTCACTTTAAATATGCAGGATGTATACAGAAAAATATCACGCATTTCTAGTCAAAAAATATAGATATATGTATGTATGTATTTAGGTTTCCCTCTACAAACAATATAATATGAAATTAGCCAAATATCGTTAACTCAATCGGCAGTAATCATTCATTAATCTCTTTTCGCAAATTTCAAACATTTTATATAACACACAAATTGAATCACTCCAAATCGAACACTTGGTTGTGCATAAAAGTTCCTACATTTTTCACAACTAATTTTAGCGAGAATTTTCGCTATAAATAGCCTCGAAACTATTTTATTTACACAATGACAGTATACATAAGATTATCACTGTATACTTCTTTTTTCTTTTCTCCAATGCCGTTGAGTGTCTTCGCGAAGTGATTCAACTTGTGAAATATAAATCACAACTAAAGTCAAGTCTAAGGAAATTATGCGGAAAGAGAGCGAAAGAAATCATGGCAGGAACTTGAGTAACATAGTTTGCATATATGTGGCAAAGAAAAAGAAGAGAGAAGAATCTCAATGAGAATACTTGTGAAGACATACCAATGCTACTATCCCTTGAAGATAAATCTGAAAATGTTCCATCATTATTATCCATCTTCTCTACTTCGTATACATCCCGCTATATTGCAAACACACGGCCGTCATTTTCATCAAATTCCAGCCGGCAATTTGACTGTACTTCGCGCGCCACTTTTCGTGCAAATATTTACTTTGCCACTCAATTTTTTTTTTCTTTTGGGAAATTTCAAGTGATTTTGCTTTCTTAAACGAGACGAGCTTTTATACAATTCAAATCCATCCAACTTACCAATGCGTGCTCCAACAGCTCCTTTAGGTTTTGGTTAGGTTATTGTAGCGGATATTTTTATTTTGCAATATTTGGTTTGGTTTTTAGTATGTTGCAATTTTGGACAAAGAGAGAAAGGTTTGCATTAGTTTGAATATTAGTAAAAAAAGTATAAAATTGACAATAATAACATCACATTCAATATGCACAGTGGAAATTTGAGTGAACTAACAAAAAAATCTCACCAATCACCTCAATTACAAATTATTATGTTATCTTCTTTGTGTACAGAGAATAAATAGTAAAGAAAAAAAAAAACATGGTGAGGTAAGTTTTAGCCGGAAACAAGTGAGAAACAATAAAATCACAGAAATGTTCCGAGAACACTTTTAGTATAGGCAGCAGATAAACTCAATTTGCATTGTACAGAAAGAAGGAATAGTCTCGCGAATAAAGTTTGTCTATTCACCTTGAACACCTCCTTTATCGAGGAAATTGCTTAAATTAAATGTTGAATTACTTGATGCTAAATATTGCATGAATCTCTGCAAGAGATAAAGAAGAAAATATCGTTCATTAGTTGCCAAACGCGCATAAAGATTAGCTTATGACTATATTTATCACCTCATTTCCATATGCCAGTAAATGATGGACTGTGATGAGAGCTTTATAGACCACCACCCAATTGGTATTTTGTGATCTTTCAATGAGTAAATTAGCCAAATGCGGTATTGACACATTCGGCTCATTGGTACAGTGTACTAAATCTGTAATGGAAGTGGAAGAAAAAAAAATATGTTAACATCAATTTGTACAAAACGCCCATTTAAAATGTAAATGTTTATACATTTGGGAAAAGTCTTCAGACGAGAAGAGAAAATGGCACAACGAATGGAAAATACACTCCGAAACTCTCCTTCTTTCCTGTATAAAGAAAATGCATAAAGAATCCCAAAATAGCACACTCACATCTTCATTGGAAGTCGCTTTCTCGCTCACTTTTAAATACACATCGTCATATGTTTTGAGAAAAACATCCTCCTTCATTTCTCAAAATACCAACACTACAATTTTCATTGATTTTTCATGTTTTCTCTCTAAACATTCACACACACACACACACACACACATACACACCGGCTTAGCAATTTTCCATCAACAAGACAAGCGAGAATGCCAAGAAAAATCAGAATAAAAGTACATTTGAGACTTTCTCATCAACTCTTTGACGGTCGCTCGAATTTGTTGAGTCAGATTAATGCAAGAACGACAAGTTTGGAACCTTTTTCCTTGTCGCCAAAATAACGACCTTGTCTTATTTTTCATTTCTTTTCCATTTGTGACACATTCTTTCTGGTGTGAGAAAGCCACAAAAAAACATGTTATGATAATTATGTGTTTTCGTTGACAGTACACCCAAGACTTTTCCTCATTGTCTCGCAATTCGTCATTGATTGTCGCACACAATCAAATTAAAACATTGTACGTCGTGTGCTTCCAACCAACATTCTCTAGTCACTGTTGCTTCAGATAAGAGAGCAGAATAGGGCGAAAAACGCCCACAAATTCCTGTTTAACTCAAAGCACAATACGATAGAAGGAGGCCACGAAATCTAATGCCAATGCCCAAAGGTCAAGAACGTGTGGATTGATTACACAATTAATAATTCAAAATGCATTTTCAGCCACTGATGAAGACATAAATCGAAATAAATATTCATTCCATTTGCACCATTTCCCCTGCAGAAACATTCGCAATTCGCTCATTTATGGATGCAAAAGCGATATCATTTTAATGCAAATGCCAACCATTTCAAAGAGACCCAGAGTGTGTAGCTTATCGAGCCAATCACGAGTGCCAGAGACTTTTGTATAAAAATTTTATACGGTTTTCTCAACCATAAAATTCACTGAAAATGCCACCAGTTTGGCAGATTCTCATACAAAGTAGAACACAGTGAATACCAGTTTTTTTTGGTCATAATTTAACACCACAAGCTGTGGATGTAAAATCAATTATTGATAGAATCCAAATGATGATACGGATGATGAGTCATACCATTTTACAATTGGCCTGAAATTTATTCATTTTCCCTTCGCGATAGGCGAACAATTCTGTAATTCAATGTTGCAAATTGATCATGAAGCACTCGCGCGCATCTCAATTCTCAAGAATTAATAACAGATTGAATGCACGATATCGAGTTGTGACAACGGTGCCAAGAAGAAACGAGATTCCTCGAGAATTCCATCTCTGCAAAATAACCATCGGCAGCTGTATCGATTGTGTATGACTTAAGCTACGCCTCTTTGACTCTCTCTCCACCGTCCAGTGACTTCTCTCTTTCTTTCCCTCTTTCTTCCATTGGGATTTTCGGTCAAACCACCGGAAACTATCATAGAAAATTTATCTCATAATCTTTCATTTACAGTCAATAAAATTTCTCCATATTCTCTTAACCACTGTTTCATTTCAATAGATGAAATTACCCAAAATTCCACCCACATTATGCTACGTGGAAGTCCAAAACGAAAAAGGCCCAGAATTGAGAAATTGCGCACGAATAGGACTCCAAAAATAGTCTTTTCCCTACAATTCTGTGTGCTGTGTCTCATTTTACTCCCCAAATATTATTTCCTTTCACACTTTCTCCACCATTTCAACCCAACAAACCAACTCCCAGAGAAACAGACAACACCGAAATAGAGCACATGAACAGCAAAAAACCACCCACTGATGATTAAATTTCAATTACAAAAATTAATCTCAAATTCATGCTGTTTTGGGAATATTTTTTACCCGCTAATGCATCTCATGAGGGCCGCCTTATCGCGTTCTGTTTTCTCCGCGTTTTTTTTTCACATTTTGTTCACTCTCTGCAGACACAAACGCTGTGCGACTTTTGGGATTATCAGGAATTTAAAGAGTCTGGCGCGAATTTTTTCTGCGCCTCCTCCATTCACAATATTCTGTGCTCTGATTGCACTCAATCTTCGCCCCTTTTTTCACCAACTTCTCTCTCTCTCTCTCTTCTCTTCTGTGCTCTGTTTGTGCGCGCTGTCGTCACAACCATACGAGTGTAATATCTTGGCCCAATATAGATATCCAATTATAATTCCTTAGCCCATGTCGCCCTCGTGAAGCACTTGACGCAGTCAAGGTTGAAAGACTGATAAACACCAGTAACAGTCAGTAAATTTTCCTCACATACTCGCGCGGTCTCCTTCCTTCCTCCCTCGAAGACCTAACACACGATTCTCGGCAGCGCTACAGTAAATAAAAAATTGACTTCTCGTGAACCCTAGCAATTGATATATAATCAGCAAGGAAAAGTCGCGACAGAGGCTGTGAATGGAGGAGATTTTATTCATAAAGAACATCGAGTTGTTTCGCACAGAGAAAAACAAACACCACATCACCAAGGGATTAGGACTGTTTTTCGCTCCGATTCACATCAGAAACAGTGAAAAGAAAATGTTATTGGACAATTTAGGGCCTCTCGGCGTTTCACTGTGCCCAACAAATGGTCATTTCTATACGAAATGATGAATTTTTCCATTGAGAATGAAAGAGAAAAAGAACAAATTCCTTCTCCTCAGCCTTCCTGCATAATTCATTTTCACGGAGTTTCACAAAAGTCACTTGAAGCAATATAATTCTTCAGCAACATATTATAATTGCAAAGCAATAAACAAACACTGTGCGGAGAGAATATGAACACAAACTCCTTCATCCACACCAAAATGTGCTATGAAAACTCAGTAGAAATCAATCAATTATTCAGAAGAGTGGAGACAAATTTTTAATTAACCAATCAATCACTGGAAGAGTCGCTCTCTTGCCATTGCGCCAAGAACCTTCGGCACAGTAAATTGATGGCAAATTCAGAAGAGGGAATTCAGAGAATCTCCGTTCCGTATCGCTTTCGACTCTTTCGGTATGTTAACCAACCAACACACCACCGCGATTTCAATTGACTTCTAAACAATTCAATTACACCTTGTTGATTCCCTCTTCACATTTTCTTATATATCTACATATATATATATATCGCAAGCACACAGTAACATCTTCTCAATGGTCAAGTGCTTCCGGTTTGTTACATTTCACTCCATCTCTCTCTCTCTCTTCCCCCTCTTTGTCTCTCTTTCTGCCTTCTCTTAACACACAAATCTAATAAATAAAATGTAAGAATGAAATAGAGTGCGAAACACACTGAATATGTGTATCATCATTTAGTCATACGCACAATTCTATCCACCACAGAGTTGATTAAGTGTATGTGGAAAATTTTTCTCACCACATAAAGGACTGAAAAGCATCTCAAAACCAAATCATCAACAACTCTGATTGCCTTCTACGTTTAAAATAGCGTCCAACAATTGTACAATGGCAGTGCGCTTTTCATATGTGTAAAAGTGTCACCATGAAAGTGATAAAAATTAAATTGTATCACCAGCACGCGAGAAGAGAAATACAATTTTTCTAAAGAGATGAAAAAATATACAGTAGCTAAGAAATTTTTCGGACACTACAAAAAATTTGTGAAACAACAATCCGTTTCAGTTCTTCCTTTGCGATTTAAGCTTGATGACTTTGGTTTGTATTAATTACATTTACAATTTAGAATAGAAAATAGTTTGATCAGCTTCAGTGTTCTCATTTAAATCAAAGACACTGTAATTTGTTATAATCGCAATGTGAATGACACATTGTTGTTTTCCATCACAATTTTCTCTTTTCCCTCACGTTTCTCTCCCGTAAAAAAAATGTTTGTGAATGAGAATCAAAAGAGGAACAGGAGTCACTAATTAATTCTCTAGCTCACCCCTCTTTTCAAATGCTAATAAAACACTCGCTTTTTCCTCTAACTCCTCTCACTGTGAAGAGGAATGTTTGAAAATTTGAATGTCAGCAAACACATAGACGAAACCAAATATATTGTAAAGTGGAATTCTGAGGTAATCGACCTGGACAGGAAGCCTGAAATCAATCCCCAGTCTCAGGTAGGCAGAATCCTTTTGTGAGGAATTTTCCAACAACACATTCAGAGCATTGTGTGGGAGAAAAACAAGACGACACGGCGAAGAACAACCTTGACCTCACAAGTCTTTGTCTATTTCTCTCACCAGGCATATTCTCTCATCATCAGAAATCTTCTCAGGCCTCTCACTCTCTCAGACCCCGTCAATTCATGCAGAAATAATTTCATCCATTCACGTCTGCTTCTCCGCCAGGAGAGACTCTGTGTTCAAAAATTCACGTAATCCACGTCTACTCTTTACCCATCTTCCATGCCCCGCGTCTAATCCCCCAAATTCCTCGCACATCTCACCAATCTGACTAATGTTTTCCCTCCCTGTGAATCTCTCCTTTCACCCACAACACTTCGTGCCAGAAGTTCGCCACAGCACAACGCATGCGCCGGGAAAATCTTTGCCATCGTGTGGCAAATTGACTCAATTTGCAAACCCAGAAAATCCATGGCTGTGGAATCACCACACGAAATTTAATGCCCGCAATTAGTTGCATTCAAACACTTTCCGATCAGAGATCATCAGACAGATTTTCCGCTCTGATGAGCTCCTCTTCCGAGGAATTTCCAACATTTCTCACACACACACACACATCTCTGCATCTCTCATTTCTCAGCCATCTGTACTCTTTCTCGTCGGAAAAATCAATGCAAAGTTTGTGCCTTTCGCTAGCTTCCCAAATTGTGGTGATATTTCGGTAAATTGCCAACAATATTGAGTCGTATTTTATGACCTCCGCGCCACACGACCTAAATGAGTGTGACAGAGAGGGGCGAAAAATCATGATTCAATCATGATAAACTGATAAAGCACTTGAAAATGCCAATATTATTGCACCTGATAAGACTGTCTAGTTGGATTCAATTTGCAAACACCCATTCAATTATGTTCATGTAAGATTTTCCGCCGCCAATGCTGCTGTGGCTTGGAAATCTCTTTTTCCCATTGGATTTTCCGAAAGAGCACAAATCTCGCAACATGACCCATTGTTCTGAGTTTTATGAGGCAAGACAAGGGGCAGAAATCTAGACGCCAGTTCCTTCACCTCTCAGCGCACAGATCAGATCCCCTTGGCCCTTCGCATTTCTACACGTCCCTCTGACTCCTCTCCCTCGCGCTCTCCTTACTCTGACCTTTCGCCAATGACGTCAGCGCGCGCCCCCCGACGTAGAGGCAGAGCCGAGGCGATTCTATGTTGCGTAGAAGGTGGTTTGGCGTCAGACAGAAAAATGTTGACGGCGATTGTGTGGATATTTGGGGAGAGAATCGTATGTTCCCGCAGTGCAAACATATCAGAGACTCTTCTCCGCACACACCCAGCGAGGCGACGGCCACAGAAAACCTGTTTCTTCGCCTCTGGGAGCGAGAGAGAGACTCGGAAGCCATCAAAAGTGACCGCGTGTCAGGGCTTCTCTGGGGAATGCCGTCAACCACTCCTGGTCACTGGACTCCCCGAGCAGGGCGGCCAGCTGGAAAAGCGCGGAACGGAGTCTGGGTGTGGGAGCGAGACAGCCGTGCAGGCGACTTTTCTATCGATTCGCTGACCGACTTTTCCCAAACTCTCTCTCAAGGACGTGCCACGGAGGGCGCCACATGGTGTCCTGTGTCGAGCGCGCCCCACAATACTCACAGTCTAAGTGCTTCTTCTTGGGCCCAATCATCTCCTCGGTGGTGGCTTTGCACACGGACTTGGCGAGGCCCTGCCCGGCCAAACTGTGCCGAGCCGCGAGCAGTCTGTCATTGAGCGACGCCATTTCTCAGCAAAAGTCCCAAGTCACTCTTGTCCACCAGCAGCACCCTTCCTCTTCGCAGGCTCTCTCGATGACTCAGCGGTCCGGACGCGAAGCGCACTGGGTGGTGAACGCCCAAGTGGGGCACACTGTTGCCGGCTGAGTTCACGGAAAGTCTCTCACTTGATTTTCACACCACACTCGTATCTTTCCATTCCAACACGCACACACAGAGGAGTATGAGAAATATCTCTGGAAATGGCGCTTTTCTTCACCCACTCGCCACGGGCGCCCCCGCACTTTCTACCACACTGGGCTCCTTCCCTCAGTCTCCCACACTCAACGAGCTCGTCCAGGAGTTCCTCCTGGTGCTGAAAACACTGCCGAAACGCGACTGCTTTTCCTCCCACAGCAACGTACCTCACTGGCCGACCGTCGACTGACAAAGTCGACCACTGTCGGCCAAGAAAATCGACTCATCGATTAATCTCGCCGCACCTATTCGCCACCAGAGGCGCTCGTCGCTGCATTGGTAATGTCAACCAACTCGTGTGCATAAATCCACCTCCAATTCCTAACTCTTTTTCCAGACATGTGGAACAAAATACAGCGCCTTACCTGCCTCACACCACACCTCAAGGTCTGGAGCATCAGATTTTCGTGCACCGCTCAAAATAATTACCTCCCCTCATCCACAGGCGCACAATGTTTTCCTGCTCACATCGCGAACACTGTGCATGGCGGGAGTGTCACCCGGGAAGATTCTGGTGGAATTCAGCTCCCCCAACATCGCTAAACCCTTCCATGTAGGACATCTGCGATCCACCATCATCGGCAACTTTGTGGCAAATCTCTTTGAGGACTTCCAACAGTCTGTGGTGAGAATAAATTACCTTGGCGATTGGGGCACACAATTTGGCTACCTCAAACTCGGCGTGGAGATGCTTAAGCTCTCCGAGGAGCAGTTGAAAAATGATCCCATCAAGCTTCTCTACCAAGCATACGTGGCCGCCAATCAGAAGGGCAAAGAAGACGCACAAATCGCAGAGAATGCCAGAGAAATCTTCTCGAGAATGGAACTTGAGGATTCTGATGATCTCACAAGATGGAATCTCTACCGAGACTACACAGTAAATGAACTGCAGAAAGCATACAGTCGTCTGGGAGTGCATTTTGACCAGTACGACTGGGAATCAATGTACTGCAGACGAAATATTGAAGGTGTTCTCAGTGATTTGCGAGACAAGGAGATAATCATGAAGGATCCAAGTGGCAAGGAAGTGATCGAGATGGGTGACAGATACGTAGCCGTTGTGAAGAGTGATGGGACAACACTTTATCTCGCTAGAGATATTGCAGCTATGCTGGATCGGAAACAGAAGCACAATTTCTCCCACTTGTATTACATTGTTGACACTGCCCAGACTGATCACTTCAAGGCATTGTTCCATGTGGCGCAAAAAGTGGGAATCGACAGGCATCTCAGTCATGTGAAATTCGGCCGCATTCGAGGGATGAGCACACGAAAGGGCAGCGTTGTGTTCCTGGAGGAAATTCTCGATGAAGCGCGAGATATCATGAAAGAGAAGCAAATGAAATCTTCCACAACGAGAGTCAATCTTGAGGATTCGACTGACAAGACGTCAGATATCCTTGGCATTTCAGCTGTGATTGTGAATGATTTGAAGCAACGCCGCGCAAAGGACTACACTTTCGACTGGAAACACGCCCTGCAAACGGACGGAGATACAGGAATAAAGCTTCAGTATACTCACTGTCGTCTGTACAGTCTCGCCATGAACACCGGGGTGCAAGCGGATGAATCACTGAACCCAGAACTCCTTCCCCATACAAAGTGCCAGGAAGTTGTGCAGGAAATTGATCGCTTTCCTGCGGTTCTAGCGAGTACGCGAGACTCACTGGAGGCTTGCATTCTCGTCAAGTACTTATTTGACCTCTGCAACACTGTGAGTCGATGCCTGAAAACGGCTCGCGTGAAGCAGGAACCGAGCGTAGAGCTGCAGCGTCAGCGATTGCTGATCTTCAACACAGCCCGGAAAACTCTGGCGCGCGGCATGAGGATTCTCGGACTCACACCTCTTGAGCGGATGTGAATAAAAGAGCCAGAAGTGGCGTAGATTGACTAATCAACTGTTATTCTCTTTCTCTCTGTCACTAATTTATCTCTTCTTCCATGTGAACTTGCGCCGAGCACCCTCCTGACCCGGTTTCTTGCGCTCACGCGTGCGATAGTCGAGCTGTAGGAGTCCAGCTGCAACAAGAGATAAATAGGGTGATCAATGAGTTGTGAACTTCGCAGTGAACTTCTCTGCGTAGGAGAGGCGCAATTACCGAGTCGCATTTCTTCCACCATCTCAGCACTGACAAAGCTTCGCAGGCTCTGCGAGATGCCCAGGCGAATGGCTCCCGCCTGGCCAGACATTCCGCCACCCCACACCGTCGCCTCCACGTCCACTTTGTCCAGCATGTCCGTGAAGATCAGCGGGAAGATGACCTGGAAAGAGGGCGACAAAAAAATGTCAGAAATAGCTCGATCTCTTAAAAGGGGATCGGAAGTCCAAGTACAGTATATCATCGTGTTTGGCTATAGTGAGAAAACATTCCATTTGGGTGCACAACGGCACAGCGAAAATTGAAGAATCCCGTGGCAAAGTCTCTCCACACCAACAATAAACTAATCAGGAGACACTCTATAGCGTCGCTTCTGATAATGGAGTGGGACTCACAACTGGCATCCCGGAGTACAAAAGACTCAATTGAATTGAATAACATTTTGTAATTGAACTCGTTACCTTGAATGTTGAAAACTTCTAAAAACTCCCAACTCAATGATCGTCACACTGAATTCTCTCCTCACCAACACACTGAGTATCCAGCGGCGTGTCCCACGAATTGGCATTTTGTGGAGCGCGCAAAATGTGGCTCTGAAGAGAAGAAAGTTTTTCGCCTTTTCTGCTCACACAACATTGCACATGACCAACGAAAAATGGCCCTTCGGAATTGCAGCATTTCTCTTATACTTTCACATCACATTTTAAGTATATTTTGTCAGCTTGAGAAAGCATTGACAAAATACTAATTAATACCTCGTATTCACTGTCAAAACAATTAAATCTGCTGCATCTTCATCGATCGCAACTGTTCACTGCCCCATTGAGGAGTTCATTGTGGTGCGAAATTACTCATTCAACAATCATTTCCGCGGCAAACGGTGGAGTCAATTGTGCGCCATTGTCTCAACGCCACGCTCCACATGAGAGACTCCGTCAAATTCCACCGCTGACACAGAAAATCCATCCCGCGGGAGAGCAAAAAACAGCCCTATTAAGCCTTGAGACAGTTAGAGACGATGAGACAAGTGCCTATGAATCATCCCAGATGATCCACATTTTCCACCAAAAACACGCGCTTTTTCCAGGCCATTTAATAGATCTACACTTTGTCTACTTCATGTGGCAAATATAACACGTTTTGGTAACATATTAAATTAATATCACAATAACAATACAAATAGAATACCAAATATATCGCTTGTAAATTACACGCACTTTCTATTATTCTTCTGATAATTGTGAATGATTTGCAGAAGTTGATCAATTGACGAATGGCTGTGCTGAATTATCGTTTTCAATTCCTTAATCTCTTTGGTCAGAGCCTCGATCTTCTCAGCATTCTCCTCAATCTTCGTGGTCAGCGTGCAAATGCTCTCCGTCTCGAAGCCATAGTCAGAATCCGTTGATCTCTCCACGATGGCACTGTTATTGTTATCGAACTTGTTCTTGTACGAGAAATACGTGGCTGAGGTGCTTCTGGGGGCGATCGTGTGGCCAAAGTGCTTCCTCTGGCGACCCACTTCGTAGGCTGCATTGAGAATATCTCTGGGCAGGCGCTTCTCACCCGGATTCAGTGGCTTTACGCACATCACAACGCGATAAGCCTGTGGCGAGACAAGAGCTGTGTAGTGCAGAAGATTCCTCAGCCATGTTGGCAAATATCCATTGAACAGGGCAGATTCTATGTAGGAGATTAGTTTCGTTTGACGCACAAGCTTCGACAATCCGGCGGTCTTCTTCAGTCCCTGGATGTCGTGTACGGCAATTCCCACCAGCAAATTCATCAAGATCACTGTGACGAACAGCAGAAACAGCACAAAAGTAATCTGAGCACTGATCTCCAGCAAAAACGGCGGATCTTTCCCATCTGGATCATTTATTAGGAGTTCCAGGTCCTGTTCACCAGTCATCATCACCAGAACTGTGATGAATCCCATAAAGGGATTGGCAAATGATGACGATGATGGGAAGATCACGCAGAAACTGATGGTAAATCCCACCAGCATGCAAGAGTACGCCATAAATAGTTTAGCAAACTCTCCCTGTACCTTTGTGTACATCGCCACATAAGCCCCAAATACGGGCAGCTGGCCAATCATCAGCATGAGATTTGTCCATCCCAGGAGCACCGCGAAGGCTCCAATGTGATTCTGCCAGGTGTATGTGCGGTTCGTGTAAATGTAGGAAATGACAAAGACACTGGTAATCACGAACCACTCAATTATATTTTCCGCTTGGGTGACGTAATGACGGAAGGAGGAATATCCGGTGATACCGAAGAGTTTGCGAAATATCTCAAAGATAGTGATCGCCACGAGCACCCACCACTGCATTTCCATTACAAAAGGATTATTGCGCAGCATATCGCCGAGTATTGACTGCTTCTGGCAAAGCTCTTGCTCTTGGATTGTCTCCTCCATGTCTTTACTTCCGTTGTAGCAATTGTGAGCCAGCGCCGTGAGCACGTAAAGTGTGAGAAAGAGGACAAACATGAAGCAGAAGACCAGGCGCCCGATGTAGTACTTGCGGATCTTTCCCCACTTGATGTACAGGAAGGCACTGCACAGAGGATGCTGCAGGAACTCCTTCTGGCCCTCGTCCACGAATGTGTTCAGGTAGCTAATCTCTCTGGGATAGGAAAGGTGGAGAAGTTGACGGAAGTCCAGCTCCAGTTCAACCTCACGATTGGCTGTATCCTGGCTATGATGGAGAGTAATTGCTGCGTCCAATTTGTGCGTGACCATCGCCAGAGAAGCTGGGGTCTTTCGTGTGATCACATTGAGGGCTGAAGTGCCCTTTTTGGACTTTGTAGACACATCGGCACCGTGAAAAATCAACATCTCAACACACTGCGCCAACCCATCAAGAGCTGCCAAATGAAGGGCTGTGAATCCATACACATCCTGATGGTTCACATTCGCTCCCCAAGCTATCAGAGTCTCCAGAATGTCAAAGGCTGTCTCTGACTTGCCTATCCCAGCATGAAGAGGTGTTCTCTCATCGAAATCCTCAGCATTGGGATCCGCTCCGCCAAGTCTTAACAGCACATCGCAACATTCCAGACTCGCGGCACGAGCGGCCAAGTGCAGAGGAGTAAATCCCCGATGATTCTTCAATTTGGCATCCGCTCCTTTGGTCAGGAGAAGAGTCACACACTCCACATTACCCTCATCTGCCGCCAAATGAAGCGCCGTGGATTCTTTCTCGCGAATGCAAATCCTTATGTTGGGATCCACATTCTTCGCCCCAAGTAGCGCTTCCAAACACTGCACATGACCAAGATCTGCCGCCAAATGAATGGGATTCATCCCATTTGACCTGACACTATTCACATCCGCGCCATGCGAGATGAAGAGCTTCACACAATCCACGGCATTCGCCCGCACGGCGCAATGCAGCAAGGATTCCTCATAGCTATGCGTGAGATGTTGCCTCCTCGTGTTCACGTCCACCGACGCGCCGTGCTGAAGCAGGACACTGGCCGCTTCCACGCTATTCCCAAAGGCGGCACAGTGAAGCGGCGTGTAGCACTTTGTCTGTAAATTCACATCAACACCGCGATTCACGAGGAACTTTGTACACTTCACACAGCCACTGAAAGCCGCCAAGTGGAGTGCTGATATTCCATTGATATCACTGAAATTCACATCAGCCCCAGTGTCGATGAACTCCTCCAGCAGATCCCAACGCTTCAGATAGGCCGCCCAGAGGAAGCTCAGGTTTCTCTCCACCTTCGTGGCCGTCGCGAAGATATCCACCACGTCCGTATTGAGAATCCTCTTCTGTTCAATGTCCTCCAGCAACTTCAGTCGCCCACTCGTAACCTTCATCTGCTCCAGCAGACTTATCCTCAGCGTGTCACTGCATATCTGCACGCTCAACTCCGTGCTGGGCTCCTCGAAGCTGTCATACATGCTGGGCGCACTCTCTGCCGGCGGCGATGGGCCCACTTCCATGTACTCAAATCCCTCCGACGGATACTGCTCTTCCAGCATGGCCTGTGGATCGTTGCGCCAGCGCACCATCATCTGCGGCGCCATGGTCTTGAAGCTGTCCACCGAGAAGGGAAAAGAGATGCACCCTTGAGACACAACCATGCTACAATACAACTCCCTCCAGAACTATTCCTCATCTACAATAGCCAATATAGACCCTCACCGTGGCGACATGGATAGGGGAATGTGCTCATTCTCCACAGCAATGCTCGCTGCCCGCGAAGATCGTCGTCGCTTAGGCTTGATCACTGACTCTTTGTGTCCAGAATTTTCCATTATCCTCACACTGTGACACTTCATCAACAGACTATAGGCGCTTTGGATCTGGATCACGAGATCACAGACAAGATCACATCACACTTGATCTTCTGCTGGTGGCCACAATGTCTGCTCGAAACCGTGAAAATCTCTGATCTTCTCACTTCGGTACTCCTCAACAGACTGACTCAAGTCGCCACTACAAGATGTTCTCTCCCCACCTCGCTCTCTCCAGCTTTAATATATGGCAATCAACTTGAGGCTGTGATTATTGAATTGTTAGAGACAATTGTTATCACTGATATACATAAGTTCGTGGAGGGGAAGAACAGGAGAGTCACACACTGGACGATATGAGAGGAGACGTCGCGTTGGCCACACAACTCCACGGCGCGAGACACAATCGCTGACTGGAGAAAATGCACTCCACAGAAAGTCACTTCCGAGAGCCAGCCTCTCGACTTCTCAAGACTATACAGAATACATATTTGTTTGGCTGAATTTGAGTGTCACTGTCTCGAGTAGATATGCTCATGGAAAGTTCTTTTGAACTCGCTACAAATCAGTTATATTGCGCCAAATAAATCGCGCGTGCGATCATCGAGAAATCTCCATGGATTTTCACTTTTTTTTTCTTCAACAAACACTCCCCCGCATTTCGTCGTTGTCACACATTGCCAATTGGCTCGGCCGCTCCAGACCACGAGTGAGACTCTGTGCGTCACTCACTGATCTTGTACAAATCTGTATATGCTGATCAATTGTTGGGGAATCCGCGCGCGCGCGCTCGCGCACGTCCAAATGGAAATGTAATACATTGTCTAATTTGTTGCAATGCCCGCGTATGTCATACGTTCGCGTGCAAAATCTACCAGCAAATATTTGGCAGTGTGGCGAGACCGCGTGTCACTCAGGTCTTTTGGCAAAGAAAACAGAAAAGGAAAAAGTGTCGTGGGAATGTTAATTCAGCCATGTGATGCAGCACAAAATTTACAACTTGTGGACTTTTTCTCTGCGCAAAGTCAACCACTCAACGAGACACGAGAAAAGAAAAATTCCTTAACATAATCTTCGGTTGAATAAATATGTACTTAACAGAGGCAAAATCTTATTCTATATATTGAAAAAAAATGTCTTTATTTGCATATGGGAGTAATTAATGCAATTGTACAGTGTAAATTTACTCAACATCATTTCTGTTATATAATTTCCTCCAGTGTCATCGCGCAAATATACAAAGGTAACACAGCGAAAAATTAGCATTTATCAATACAATTAACGGGCAGCTTCAGATTTCTTAATTTTCTCAGAGATTTTTGCATGAATAAATTCCTGGTCTTCACACAATGTTTGTAGTCCTTAAGGACTACAATTGACGAAAATTTGCACAGGATTGCCTTGACTGTTTAGATAAAATAAGTGAAAATTGAAAATCACTCACAAACTAGAATTTTGCTGCCGAATTGATTGCGTGTTTTCTCCATTAAAAAAGCCACAATTCGCGTGAAACACAATCAAAGGTTATTGAGAATTAAGTAGAGATTCTAAATATGCCCGAACTTTTCCTCCTTGGCACGGCCTTTTCAGTGGGTGGTGGAAAATGCACAAACACTGCACACGGGGCAGCTTCGGATCGCCACGGACTGACAACAGCGCGCTCTGACAGTCTGACGCAACATCACGGTCGAAATTTTCTTGTGGCAAATATTGAAGATTTTTCACAAAGTGCCGTTCTGTGCTGCATTGCTTCATCACGTTAAACGACTTCTTAGTGGAAAAGTGAGAAAATACACGCGAAAAACACTGATTTGCACTGATTTGATTTGTGGTGGCACTGAAGTTGCCACCACTCACGCATGGTGGCGTTGCGATACAGGAAAAATGACGGGCAACTTGCTTTTCGCTCAGACATTTTGACAGTGCGTGCAAGGGTCCAGAAAAGTCGCGAAAATATTACTTTAAAGGCGATTTTTAGGGAATTAAACAGTTTCAGTGTGTAGAATAGAAACCAAAGTGATCATTTGTCCGCGATTCTACAATTCCACAATGGAATTTATGGTAAATATCAGTGAAAATCTGAAGCTGCCCCAGAGCAATCCGAAACATCCCCGTGCGGGGCAGTTTCAGATAAATTACAATGTTATTTTCATTCCTCTTTTAGAGGAAAAAGGATCAGTTTTAATGCCCAATGAAAGGCATTTTCTGAAGCTCAACAGACAAGAGCTTATTTGAGCGTTGTGATTATTTCAATATATTCAGCCGATTTTTCAAGAAAAAATCCTAAAGTTGGAACAGCATTTTGAATCTGAAGCTGCCCCACTTACCCCTAACACAGCGAAAAATTAGCATTTATCAATACAATTAATAAATTCTCTCTCTCTCCATTCGACACGATCAGCAATAAAATACACACAATTTTGGCAAAATCTCTTTCGTCCTGTTTTCAGCGTCTTCAGGAGAGAAAAAAAGAAACTCCTCACAGAGATTTTACAATCTTTCTTTCTTTCATTTTTGTTTAAGAATAAAATATTACATTCCATCGTATCACATTAATATAAATTAAAATGTTGAAGTCCAACATCTTTCATGTACCTTATTTCTTCCACCTCCATCTTCTTCCTCTGCGCCGCATCCTCTCACCTCTCCTTCGGCCGAAGCCACGTCTCTGTGCCCAAAAGGAGGTGAGACTCTTGTGGTAAATCCCGCGCGCATGCAAGAAGATGTGTGAGAGAAAAAGAGAAATCAGTCTCTGGGCCATTGAATTGGATGTCTCTCCACTCTATCATCCCACAATCAATCACTTCTTCCCATGGTGACTCTTGTGATTGCTGTTGTGCTGATTCTTCGACACGAGTGTCATCATCTGGTCAATAAGTGCATGATTCTGATGCAGAATCGCCTTAAGCTCCTTCACCTCATTCGTGAGGATCTCAATCTTCTCAGCATTCTCTTCCACTTTCGTCGTCAGCGTGCAAATACTCTCCGTCTCGAAGCCACAATCTGACTCTCCGGATCGGATGGCATTGTTATTCTCCGTCATCTTCACCTCTGATAGCTTGTTGTCGATCTTCATAGGGTTCTTGTACGAGAAGTACGTCGCCGTGGAGTTCCTCGCCGAGATGGTGTGGCCGAAGTGCTTCCTCTGGCGCCCCACCTCATATGCCGCCTTGAGAATGTCACGAGGGAGACGCTTCTCGCCCGGATTCAGGGGTTTTACACATAGAACCACACGATAAGCCTGAGGCGAGACGAGAGCAGTATTATGGAGCAATCTCCTCAGCCAGCAAGGTAAATAACCGTTGAAGAGGGCAGATTCTATGTAGGAGATAAGTTTGGTCTGACGCACGAGCTTTGAGAGTTCAGCTGACACCTTTAGCGCCTGAATATCGTGCACGGCGATTCCTACCAGCAAATTCATCAGGATCACTGTGACGAACAGCAGAAACAGCACAAAAGTAATCTGAGCGCTGATCTCCAGCAAAAACGGCGGATCCTTGTCATCTGGATCATTGGTCAGAAGGGAGAGATCTTGCTCGCCAATCATCAGCACCAGTACAGAAATAAATCCCATAAATGGATTAGCAAACAGCGATGATGACGGGAAGATCACACAGAAGCTAATTGTGAAGCCAATTAGCATGCAAGAGTACGCCATAAATAGTTTAGCAAACTCTCCCTGTACCTTTGTGTACATCGCCACATAAGCCCCAAATACGGGCAGCTGGCCAATCATCAGCATGAGATTTGTCCATCCCAGGAGCACCGCGAAGGCTCCAATGTGATTTTGCCAAGTGTACGTGCGATGCGTGTAAATATAGGAAATGACAAAGACACTCACGATCACGAACCATTCGATAAGATTCTCAAATTGTGTCACATACTGTCGAAATGAGGAGAATCCACTGATACCACAGAGTTTACGGAAAATTTCCACTATTGTTATGGCAACGAGCACCCACCACTGCATCTCAATCACAAAGGGATTATTCCGCAGCATATTCCCCAGTATTGATTGCTTCTGGCACAGTTCCTGCTCCTGAATCTCCTCCTCCATCTCCTTGCTGCTGTTGTAGCAATTGTGAGCCAGCGCCGTGAGCACGTAAAGTGTGAGAAAGAGGACAAACATGAAGCAGAAGACCAGGCGCCCGATGTAGTACTTGCGGATCTTTCCCCACTTGATGTACAGGAAGGCACTGCACAGAGGATGCTGCAGGAACTCCTTCTGGCCCTCATCCACGAATGTATTCAACGAACTAATCTCACGCGGATGACAATACTGCAACAGTTGGCGGAAGTCCAGTTCTAGTTCCACCTCGCGATTTGCCGTATCGTGACTTTGGTGGCACGTGATCGCGGCATCGAGCTTTTGACTAATCATCTGAAGCGATGCAGGTGTCTTGCGGGTAATTACATTGAGAGCTGAGGTGCCTTTTTTGGATTTTGTAGTCACATCGGCTCCGTGGAAAATTAACACCTCCACACACTGTGCCAGGCCATCGAGGGCCGCGAGATGAAGAGCTGTGAATCCATACACATCCTTGTGATTGATATTTGCACCCCAGGCAATTAGCGTCTCTAGGATATCAAGGGCTTGATCGGACTTTCCAATGGCCGCATGAAGGGCTGTTCTGTGGTCGAAGTCCTCAGCATTGGGATCTGCATTGCCCGTTCGCAGAAGGGACTCGCAGCACTCCAGACTCGCTGATCGAGCCGACAAGTGAAGTGGTGTGAAGCCACGATGATTCCTCATCTTCACATCAGATCCCTTGGTCAGGAGTATATTCACACACTCCACATTTCCCTCGTCCGCCGCCAAATGAAGTGCCGTGGACTCTTTGTCGCGGATGCAATTCTTAATGTTCACATCTGCCGACTTTGATTCTAGCAATGCCTCTAGGCATTGCACATGACCCAGATATGCAGCCAAGTGGATGGGATTTGTCCCGTTGGGCTTCAGGGAGTTGACATCCGCCCCCTCAGCCATGAACAGCCTCACGCAGTCCACAGCATTCGCCCGGACGGCACAGTGCAGGAGAGACTCTTCGCAGTCTTGCTTTGCCGTCACCGTTGCAATATTGGCGCCGCTATTGATGAGCATTTTTGCTGTCTCTGGGGAATTCCCAAATGCAGCACAGTGAAGAGGCGTGTAGCATTTCGTTTGCAGATTCACATCAATTCCGCACGATATCAAAAAAGCCGTGCATCTCACACATCCACTGAAAGCCGCCAAATGAAGTGCCGAAATGCCATTTGGGTCCGTGTACTGCAGATCAGCTCCTGCCTGAAGGAGTCCCTCCAGCAGATCCCAGCGCTTCAGATAGGCCGCCCACAGAAACGCAATGTTCCTCTCTATTTTCACCGTAGTCGCGAAAGACTCCACCACATTCTCCGTGGTGATATTGCGCTGCTCAATGTCCTCCAGCAACTTCACGCGACCATTGCACGTCTTCATCTGATCCAGAAGATTCCCGCGAATTGTCTCACTGCATATCTGCACGCTCAACTCAGTGCTGGGCTCCTCGAAGCTGTCGTACATGCTGGGCGCACTCTCTGCCGGCGGCGATGGGCCCACTTCCATGTACTCAAATCCCTCCGCCTGATCCTCCATCATTCCCTGAGGATCATTCCGCCAGCGCACCATCATAGCCGGCGCCACGGTCTTGAACCTATCGCAAAAATCCCAGAATCACATTAATAATCTCGCTGCGTTTCCTCGTTCGATCACCGTCAAAATTGATTTGATTACTGTGTGTATTCGCCGTACTGATCATGATCTTGAGATAGTGAAAATAACATAGGAAACATTTTCGCATAACTCTCTTTTGCCTATTGTTCCCAACATGAACTTGCCCTTTTACAGCACTGACTCACGCCGCGCATTAGCATCTTCGTACATACATATGTAAGCCCCACAATAATCAAATCAACTCCGGCGATCGGTGATCTTTAATCGAGCAATTAATTGCGACTAGCACGGTTGAAAGATCACACCCGAGCAAAAATCACACACCTTGGCGATGTTGGCGAAAAGGGTGATGCTTCATTGTCCATTGCCACACTCGCCGCTCTCGAGAATCTCCTCATCTTTTGGCGATTGATCGCCGTGGCATCACTAAAAGCAGGATTATCCATGGTCTCAATATCTTCTTCTCAATGGCTGATCGCTCTCCTTCGTGCGTGGTTACAACACTGTCATAAAATCACTCTCATAGCATTCACAACACTCTGTACAAGAAAACTAATGTGCAGAATTCTTCACTGTTGAGAGACTTCTTCTGCAGAGACTCTATCAAATTGACTTCACTACGATGTCTGCTGTTGGGAATTATGCTTCCGACCAAGAGCACTGTTCGCTTCCAACTGAACACCGAATACTGGAGATCACAGACACATTAGACTACCACTTCAGTCCAGAGCTCCCTCTCACACACTCTCTCGCCAGCTCAAATGTGAAACACTCTCTCGTGGGGCTTTGTGGAGGCAAAGGGGCAAATATAGGCGTACATTCCATAATCTAATCCTTATATAGATAAAATTGCTCCGAAGCTAAAAGACGCTTAATCAGACATAAGATCCCTTGTGCTTATGTTATCAGCCAATGAGTCGTCCTCTTCGGATTATCCCTCAATTACAATTCAGATAAATCCCTCTTTGCCCGGCACTTTATGTAGTCACTAAGGAGGGCTCTTGTGACCCGTGCCTCGACGTCTCTCTCTCACTCTGGCGGGATCATTAACTCACCTGAGAGAGGTAGACAATCAATTTCCACAATGTCGCAGCCGAAAATTTTTGCAAATCTCTCTCTCTCTTCTCCTCTCTGTGTGCGACTCTGAGAGTGATCGCGCCAAATGGACAATGCGATGATCACAAACAAACCGTGTAGGTGAATATGGATAGTATCACAAAATTTCCGCTTCTCACAATTTTGGGGCCAACTCAAGTCTTCTGGTATTTTATATGTATGTCTCTGTTTTTCCCCAAACCAAGCCATACTGGTGTTTGTGTTGAAGAAGAATCACTCAACACACGAACATCACCAATAAAATTGCCCACAAATTCAGGTGTAATAAAGCTTTTACTGATTTCGTCTTATTGCCTGCTTCTTTTGCACTGCGACTCGCCATCGAAAATCCCCAGCATTTAAAAAAAACATCCGCGCATGTTAGCTTAACACCTCCTTTTGGATGATTCTCAGAAAGAGACGTATTTATGCAGAGCAGAGACACTTGACGCCCAATTCAATGGACCATAATACACTGCATGTCCCACGATTTTGACTCTTGTGCAATATTTCCTAACTTCTTTTTTTATAAGCATATCTTTGCATATTAGGAATATGGTTGTAAAATGAACTCTTTATTCACGAGATTAATTTCTTAGATTAAAATTTGTTAGATTCCTTTATTGTTCATCATCACTTGTGAAAATATGTATTCACCAACAAGGTCGTCACTTTGAAGCATCCACTTTGTAATTCATAATCATTTTTTAACGCTTCTAAATGCGGTGAATTTTTTCACGCAACGTTAAATATGCTCTTTTATTATACCGTGTTGTAGATTGTGTACAAATTTTTCGGCCGAAAAGCCTCAACACACAACAACAAGTCGACCAAGAGATTGGGCATTTCTTTTGTCACACAAGACATTATTTTTCCATACGTCCAGACATTGTAAACTTGACACTGAAGAGCCCAGGCATAATCACTGTATGGTTTTGGGGAATTTTGGAACACGGAAAAAATACCAAATACAGATAAGTTATGCATTTATTGGCCAACCAAAAGAGAATGTCTCTTGATGGTTGAAAGTGCGTGTCCTAAATAAGATCACACGCGTGCAATTTCCGCAAGATCTCCTCTGTTACTCAGCAGCTTCTTGCTCAATTTTCCTGCTCACACACACGCCAATTATACACATCCAATAATAATCTCTTTTTCCCGCCTATTAAAGGTGCCTCTCTCGCAAAAGTGCATAAGATAAATCTCTTTTATACAAATTATATTTCACAATAACGGGTCACCCATTGCACATTTTGCAGAAAATTGTGATACACGCGCACCACTCTTGGTCGCCAAATTGTGAAACTTTGGTGCACCATTTGGAATGCCTTTGCTATTAAGTAACTTTCTTCTCTTCTCATTTCGATGGGTGGCACAAAAATGATGACTGCCGCAATCCACACGCCGCAAGACTGTATCACACTTCTCGATGGCAATTTACCCATGTTAATAATCCAGTTTTACTCGTTCACTTGCCTATGTTTCACCTCCCAAATTCCATTAATGCATTTATTGTTCTCTGTCATTTGCTCGCTACGCATTAATTGCTCTTTCATGCAATCATTACTAATAGTCCTGTACCCAGAAAATTCCATTCGACTGCCTTTGAGACATTTTCATTGCAATATCAAACGGTTACGCGCAAATTTTAATATCATCATATTAATAATTCAGCGACCTTTTATGTGTTTTGCCGGTACATTTGAATGTATGATCACAAAAATGAGGCTATAGTGTCGAAATCTCAATTACCACAAGCACAGAGAAAGTAATTTCGACGCACTACAATCATCCTCAATTGAGGTTTCAGTGAAATCTCCGATGATCGCTAGAATGATAATTCTCCCGAAACCATTAGACTACGCATCAAATCAGAGTATAAAGATAAAAATTTTCCCACATCAGAAAACCATTGAATATGTAGATACATAAGAGTGATTGTTGGGAAACGCGCTCTTTTTTTCTATATTGCTCTGTTCAACAAACTCATATTGTGAAGAGTAAGAAAACATCATTTTATTACAGACTCAGAACGACCGATCGTTAATCTGGAAAATCATGCAAAGGAAATACTTCATTGCTCTCTCGCTTTTTCTGCGAAAGCTCGTGTACTTTAAAACACGATGACGATTTTCATGTGTCGCAGTAAAAAAAACAGACTAAAATATCATTGATAAAAAATTTTCCCGTGAATATTGACATGAACACAAGTGGAAAAATAATGTAGAGACTGCGATACATATATAGAGAGACACCTATTCATTATTCTCACAAACAATAACTATCTATCGTCATCGATGGTAAGTTCCGGTGATTTATCACATTGTGGGAAGCTTCGTTTTAGCAGTTTTCCAAACACTGCAAAATCGACTGAAGCAGAAAAAATCCATTTGTGTCGTCAATCTGAATGTGATAAAAATATCTTAGTGCTCGTTAGGTACATTTAATTAGCACATCTGTGTACAAAGTAATATAGTTATCGCTCAGCATCTCTTTTGACAATTATTGTACATCTCTCATGCAAATATACATAACCGACATCAATTGAATAAATGCTTCCCAGAGAATATTTGAGTCAAGCTCAAGTGCTTGGGCGATATCTCGATGGCAGGCACTTCACATGCAGAAGAGGAAGTGGTGGCCGGTAGAGCACTTAATCCGAGATTCTACCTTTCTTTATTGACTTTTTTCGCATGCTCTCGTGACTCTTCGTCATGACAAACAACAAGTGCTCGAGCGTTGAGTGATTCTGATGGAGTATCGCCTTTAATTCCTTCACTTCATTCGACAATATATCAATCTTCTCAGCATTGTCTTCCATTTTCTTGGTCACTTCACTGCTCGGACTGTCCACGCGATGAAGCGATGGACAAACCGACTCTTGACGCTCCAGAACACGTCCACTGCGTCGACTGCCCTTGCGCTTGAAGCTGGAATTCAGGGATATGTCCGAGCCCTGATTCGACAGCGTGTGATCCAGATCTTTGCGCTGCTTCCCCACTTCGAGGGCCTCATCGAGAATCTCCCGCGGCAGACGCTTCTCCCCCGGATTCTGGGGTTTCACACACAAAATCGCCCGGAAGGCGTGCGGCGATACCATCGCAGATTCATGCACAAACTTCTGCAGCCACTTCGGGAGGTATTTATTGAAAAGGGCAGACTCTATGTAGGAGATCAACTCTGTCTGACGCACGAGTTTTGAGAGCTCAGCAGACTCTTTCAGCGCTTCAATGTCATTGACGGCAACACCCACCAAGAGATTCATTAGAATAATGGTGATGAAGAAGAGGAACAGTATGAATGTGATCTGAGCACTGATCTCCAGCAACACAGGTGGATCCTTTCCATCAGGCTCATTCGTCAGCATGCTGATGTCTATCTCGCCTGTCATCAAGATCAGCACAATAATAAATCCCAGAAAGGGATTCGGGAAGTACGGACTGTCCGGGAAGATGATGCAGAAGCTGATGGTGAAGCCAATCAGGACAAAGAAGTACGCCATGAAGAGCTTAGCGAATTCCGTTTGAACTTTCGTGTACATCGCCACATAAACACCGAAGAAGGGCAGTTGTCCCACCATCAGCATCAGATTCGTCCATCCCAATAGGATTGCAAAGGCTCCAACGTGATTTTGCCAGAAGTAAGTTCGTTGAGTATAGACGTAAGACGTGACAAAAACACTCCCAATCACGAACCACTCGATGAGATTATCAAAAGAGGTGAGATATTGCTTCGTTGTCGAGTAGCCACTAATCCCACCTAGCTTCCGGACGATCTCCACGAGTGTGAGTGCCGCGAGAACCCACCATTGTACTTCCATCATAAAAGGATTATTCCTCAGCATGTCACCGAACATTGACTGCTTTTGGCACATTTCCAATGCCTGAATCAGCGCTGCCTCTTCCATGTCCTTCGTGCTATTGTAGCAATTGTGCGCCAAGGCCGTGAGAACGTACAGACTGAAGAAGAAGATGTGGATGAAGCAGAAGATCAGCCTGGCAATGTAGTACTTCCTGATTTTTTTCCACTTCAAATACAGGAATGCTGTGCATAGCGGATGCTGTAGAATCTCCTTGTGATTCTCCTCCACGATCTTCTTCAAATAGCTGATCTCTCGAGGATGACAGTGTTGCAGAAGAGGTCCAAAATCCAACTCAAGCTCCATTTCACGATTGTTCGCCACTTTGTGAGTGTGAAGTGTGATGGCACGATCTAGTTTGTGGCTTATCATCTTGAGAGAAGTTGGCGTTTTCCTCACGATCATGTTGAGAGCCGGTGTACCCTTCTTCGTCTTTATCGTCACATCGGCTCCATGGAAGATCAGCGTCTCAACACAGTCCGAGAGGCCATCAAGAGCGGCCAGATGGAGCGCTGTGAAGCCATAAATATCCTGCTGATTGACATTTGCGCCCCAGGCGATCAGAGTTTCCAGAATTCTGAAGGAAGACTGAGTTTTTCCGATGGCTCCATGAAGAGGAGTTCTGTGATCAAAGTCCAGGGCATTGGGATCAGCTCCTCCCACACGCAACAATTGCTCTACACACTTCAAACTCGTCGTCCTGGCAGCCAAGTGGAGTGCCGTGAGACCGCGATGGTTCTTCAACTTTGCATCTGCGCCCTTGGCCAGCAGTAAGCTCACGCACTCAGCTTTGCCATCATCAGCGGCCAAATGAAGAGCTGTCGATTCCTTCACACTGCTACCAATTCTCAGATTCGGATCAGCATCTGGACTGTTGAGCAGAGCCTTCAGACACTTCACCAGTCCAAGATCCGCCGCCAAATGGATGGGATTTGTCCCGCTTGGCTTCACAGCATTCACATCCGCCCCATGAGAGATAAAAAGCTTAACACAATCCACAGAATTTGCTCGCACGGCGCAGTGCAAGAGGGATTCCTCATTGTTTTCCTTTTTAGTATTTACAGAGAGATCTCCCCCATTCTCAATCAACACATTAGCGGTTTCTGATGAGTTGCCAAATGCCGCACAGTGGAGTGGCGTGTAGGGGCCCGTCTGGAAATTCACATCTACACCGCGCGAGATAAGAAAGTTCGCACACTTCACACATCCACTGAAAGCGGCGAGATGGAGGGCAGAAATTCCTGTACGGTCGGCAAAATTCAGCTCCGCTCCCACTTGAAGGAGTCCCTCAAGCAAATCATGACGCTTCAGAAATGTCGCCCAGAGGAAGCAGAGATTTAGCTCCATCTTGCTAGATCCCTCCAGAGCTTCCTGAATATTTTCCGCCGTAATCACTCCACTTTCCACATCTTCAAACAACTTCAGACGCCCATTATTCATCTTCATCTCCTCCAGAAGGTTCTCACGTATGGTATCGTTGCATACTTGCACTGTTATCTGAACACTGGGCTCCTCAAGGGCCTCATAAACACTCGGCGCAAATTCCGCTGGTGGCGACTGACCCACTTCCATGTAGTCACAGCGATCCGGAGTCGCCAGCTGCGCCTCCATCACGGCCAAAGACAAGTTTCGCCATTTGAGACGCAAATGAGGAGCCGCCGATCTGAGTCTGCAAAGGAAATTTCCCCAGAATTCTTATTAGGCTATCTTATAGTGCGGGAAATCCCTCTGTGACCCACGCAAGCAATCTTCCCATACCTGCTATTCTGCGTTGTTAACGGCGTGGTCTCCGTCTCTCCATTCTCCGTCGATGTAGTCGAAGAACCTCTGATGAAGCGTTCCCTTTTCGGTCTCACCACTCCTTCCTTGAACCCCAAATTTTCCATCTCGCATAGTCAGAGACTTTGCACACCTGTATATCACCCCAAGAATTTCCAGCCTCAACTGACTGATAATGGGCAGGATAGGTGGCTTTTTCATCGCGAATTCCATGCAAATTTATCTTATATTTGCAGATCCATAAAACATCCATCATTGAGGAGCAATTCCACCAAGTTTTTTCCTTCATCTCCATCACCTTCTCTCATTATATCACACACTATACACAGAGTTCTTAAATGACAATATAATTTCATATATCTCAACCCACTTCAAATGCGAGTAAGAGCATTTTTCCACCACAAATTATGACAATGTGAGTGGTGGCGATGTTCATTTAAATGAACGCCCAAGAAAATGAGAAAATCTCACGAGAGATATCATTTTACTACACCACTTAGTGACGCTCTGCCACAAATAAATATTGTAATTGCTCGTGGGTTATTCAAATAGAGCCACACACAATTAAATAATTGATGAAGCAACAATCCCTCCATATCGTCAATGTTCATGTTCCCAGTGAAAATGCCTAAGAAAATTCCTCCCCCACCAAGAGATGCACATATTTCGCACGTGAACTCATATAATAAATTAATTGCAGTCGACTCCAGTGAGTGAGCCTGATAAAGCCCACAATTAAGCGCATGCCAGAGGGACAAAAGGAAATACGCGGAATCATAGAATTCATGTATCGAATCACTTCCTCATCCTGCCGTCTCGTTCAGCTCTTTCGTGCTAGCCACAAACCAGTGAATGGACAGTGAATCCGGAACATGTGTTACTTCCCATTGTTGCTGAAATAGGACAAAGAGAGCCGACACATCGCTCAATGTAGCCCAAACACGCCCAGTTCCAGCAGATCTCTGCTTTTCGCTACAGTAGCCGAACTGCCAGAGCAGCAGGAAGACCAATTGAGCCCTCCAAACGCCCAAGATTCACAGCAAAACCTTGACGAATACGCAATTACTATTGTGAGTACTATGAATGATGAATTCCAAAACGTGATAAGAACATTAAACAAACTCAAACTTAATACGCAGCCAGACTCTGTAGTAACATATTTTTCTCGAATCATGCAAATAATTCACACTGATAAAACTATGCGGCGTCCCGCAATTTCTAAACTGTCTGGTCACAATATTTTTCGCAGGTTTTCATTGACAAAACACGCAAAATGTCGCTGTGAACCCAGGGAAAATTGCAATGTTTGACTCACAAACTCAACAAATCCCAGGGAAAATTTCTCATTGTCTCTAATTCTATCGCATTGTCTTGGCCACAGCCTTTTTTTTGTTTAAGGGGTTGGCCCAGCAAAAACATCCTCATGAAAGAAGAATAAACATGCCATCGAGTGACTCGTGCGCTTTCACAAAATTCCCAGAAATTTCCATTTCCATTAATTTGCATGTGAATAAATTACGCAAAAGATGACGGGAAGACAATATTGTGTGCCACACTGCATCATTTATCGCATTCAAAAGAGGAACAATTAGGTTCGCAATTGTGTGCGGCAGAATTTGGCGAGATGGGCGCAATTGACGCAAATTCCACCACAAATGGCTAAGAGGAGAGATACTGTGATCTTGTAAATCAGCCGCACTCTCTCGTGAGTGGGTGCCAAAGTGTAAATATAGAGTCTGGCGCTGTGTTTGGACAATAAGACAGAGACAAAGTCCGCTTACCTGTTCGCGGCATTGATCATAGCTGAAGTATCTCAAGTCGCTGCCATTGATTGTTATAGCGCCCGCACCTGGCTTTCTCACCGTCACATTGGCACGTGCGGTCTTCCTCTTACAGACTGCAAGAATCAGTGACAGAATTGTGAGATAATCTGGTTCAGAGTGGTTTTGCTTGCTCAACTCACAGTTTGTCGTTACAAATTGCCGCCCATTTGAGTCCATCTGCGGCTGTGGAATACTAGTTATGTCTGTCTTGGCGGTGAGAGGCTTCCGATACTTCTCAATAAAGTCCCGGATGCGATAAGAGTAGGGCAAGTCCGCAAGGCGCTCAATGGCATTGACAAAGTTTGTGTACTCCAGATCGAGGATCTTCTCCAGCAACATGTCCTCAAACTCCTCCTTGGGCAACCACATGGACGATGTGAGGACCAGCTTCAGATTGGGATCCGCTTCCACACGCTTCCGGATCATTTCATCCTCATACGCGTTCAATTGAATAATATGCTCAGCAATGTCCTGCGAAAGAGACGCAGTGTCAAAAGAAATTGGTTTGACGAAGGCATGAAAACTCACGTAGAGAGTCTGGAAGTAGTTTGGCCTCCCAGTGTAGAACATGCTGTGATGCGGACGTCCTGTCTCGTCGAACTCCGCCGCCTTCCGCACGGGGAACACCTCTTCCGGAGGCTTCATCATCGGCCGCGCTTTCTTAGAGTGCAGTCCCGACGGGAATAGATACCGAATAGCATTCTACGGTGGATATAAGTTAATTTCAAATAAGAAGAATCATCATCCGGACGACTTACATCCACATCCTCTTGCGTAAACGTCTCTGGATCCTCTCCCATCATGTTGGCCAGGTGTCTCTTACCCAGAGCGTACTCCAACTCCTGATTCTTCATGAACTCCTCATGCTCTCGCGCCCTGTCCAGATACGCCTTCATAGCCCGACTGGAGGTCTCGCGGCGCAGTGCAGGAAAAGCCATAACAGTGACCTCGGAAGACCATCTCCTCTGATCCAGACATGGAAGATTTAGGTTAGAAAACACATCTGCTCCTTTTCAGATGAAAAATCAAAGGCACTCACGGATGCTTGGGTGAACAAAATGCAGGGCAAGTTGTTGAGTACTCCCACACTGTTTAAGTGATTAATTGCTCGCAAAAAGGGCATTTTTGCCATTATTTTTCACTCCTGCCTAGCGGCTCACGCACACACACACACACGCTCGCTCGCTCGCGGAGTTTCGAAAATTCCGGACCGGTTTACCGCAACGGTTCTCCAGACGCGCTGACAGCCGGTAAGCATGGCGAAGTGAATTCTTCGGGCTGTGCACATCATTTTTCGTCAGAAATTCACCACCGCCACAGAGAGATTTTGTGAAATGAAACAGCGGAAAGTTGATTCATGGTGAGTGAATATGTGAAAATCAGTTGTATCGTCGCGGGGCGGGTTCATTTGAGTGGAGAAAGTGGACTTTTCTCCGAGGGTGCTCCTCGCGCGGAGGATTGGCCGAGCCCACCGACAATGGCTTCGTGTGATTTTGGCGGCAAAGAACTCGTTTAGTGTCGCATTGTTGTGCAAAAATGATTGCTTATCAGAGATAAAACAGTTGGTTTTACATAACTGTTCTTGGGCAATCACTCTGTGGGCTAACAATAGTCGCATCAGGGACAAATTCTCCTCTGCCGGTCAGTTTGGCGGTGCCCTTGGCCTAATTCACACCTCCGATTCCTTGCAGAGTCAGATGCTGAGCACCGAAGCAAGGATCACCGCACATTATTCATCGAGCAGGTAACACGGAAGAATCGAGGGAATAGAGAGACAGAAAAGAGTGATGTCCAGCACTATTGGTGACATCCGGAAGAGCTTCGGGAGCTGGTGAAGAGTGTAGTTAACTGTTTGTGTCGTCCCCAAAGAACACGCCGAGAGTCTGAGACATCGTGAGGCGTAATTGTAGATCCCAATTGTGTGCCGAGATTGCCAAGTGTGTGCGTACGGCATGATGTACTCCACCCGGAATGAGATCGTGTTGGAGTTGAAGGGCGATCCGCAGGAGCAGAGAGGCGCCGGCCAGAGGCAGAACCGCCCTAACGGGGCGCAGGCGAAGCGTCGCAATGTGTCTAATGAGCACAATATGGCCAATGGTGGAAACAAGAGAAGGTTTCAGTGCAATCCGAGCAACGCACCAAATCGTCGTGGATATCAGAATCGCCATCAAGACTTGTCGCCTGTGATTGAGATCTCAGTAGACGAGAGGAATAACAAAAGGGCGAGCTACGCAGGCACGGGACGTCAGCAGGGCAGTTCAGGCGCGCGAGTGCCCACGGAGGCGACCAGGGACGAGCAGATGCAGACGCCCAAGTTCCACCACCAGCAGCACTACAACAGGGGTCAGTATCACGGCCGCGGGCCACACTATCAGCACAGAGATGGCGGCAGAGGCCCCAGCAGGGCCACGGCGGAGCACAGGCTGCACTGCAATGGCTGGGGATCGTGCACGTGTGTATTCCCGAAGCCGCAGTGGAGTGGTCAGCAGCAGGACTACTCGAGGGCGCACAATCGATATGCCGATCAGCAGATCAACAACAGTCGATCGCCCACGCCGAGTCTCAAGTCTGAGAGTCCGCCCGCAATGACGCCCACTCTCAATTCGCCCATCCTGCCCAACGCGCTAGAGCTCACCCAACTGATGACCATCTCCAAGGAGGCGCAGCTGCCCAGCCGCAATGGCTACGAGTCGGATTGCTCGCAACAAGTCCAGGCATTTGTTCCCACCAATGACTTCTTCTTCGATTTCTCCTCAAACTCCTACCAATTGGGTGATGTGATGCAGCACCCCATGCGGTGTGTGACCAGCAGCCAGAGCTCGCTGAGCAGCGGCAACACGGATGAGTCGTCGTCCACTTCAGCGGGCTACACGTACGAATTGATGCCGTACGTCAATCACAATGGCTCGTACAACTACATCTTCCCCGAGCCCACGCCGCTGATCAACCACGAGATGGACGGATATCTGCGGAAGAAGTTCTCTGGCTTGGTGTCACCGCCGGAGAATCGTCGCGGTGTCAATTCAGGGATGCAGCATCGACGGAAGCGCTTTGTAGAGACACCACCGGATCACTTTATTGCTCGTGCGCACTTGGTGATGACCAAGACGATGCCGAAGGCTCTCCTGACAGGCGGACAGTGGGACAATCTGTCGCAGATGGTGTGGAATCGATTCATGGTGGCGCAGCAGTCAGAGGAGACGTACGTGAAGAAGATGAACCTGTGGAAGAGCCTCTTCATTGACATTCGCACAGCATATCCCAGCGTTGGCCTGTACCTCGTGGGCTCCACCATGACGGGCTTCGGAGCGGACGCATCGGATGTGGACATGTGCCTCGTGGCGAAGAGCAGAATTGATATGGAGCCACGAATGGAGGCGATTGTCACTTTGTCGGGACTTCAGAATTTTTTGGCCATGAACAGTGAGTGGAAAAATGTGATATCCACAAGTGTCTCATCATTTTTGCTGTCTTGTGCTCCACTTCTTTGCAGAAAAATACGAAATGTTCCATCTGATTGAAGCTAAAGTACCAATCCTGCGCTTCCGTGATGCAGAGAATCACATCGAGGTGGACTTGAACTACAACAATTGCGTTGGCATTCGCAACACTAACTTGTTGTACTGGTATTCAAACAGTGAGTAATCTCTCTTGATTAGTCCTCTTTATTGATCACATGTGCGCTTTGGCTTTGTTGCGACTGAGAGAATCCCTTATCAATTTATTGGAGACAAAACTCTCGTGACTGATGATTGTTGTTGAGTCTGTGTGTCACGAGAAAGTTTCGATTATCTCAAGTTGATCTCAACTTTTTCGCTGTCCTTCGAATTTTTGCACAAATAGACGAATGTTTAGAGGAAATTATCATCAATTTAGCCACTTCTTTTGGGGAAAATTCGTCATACACAAAAGATATTTCTGTATAACTTCACTGAAAATTAAAAGAAGTTAATTTTAATCTCCTCTAAATGTATGATTTTGCTAATTATTCGTCTGTTTAAATCTGTAATAAATTATAATCTGTCTCTTTCAGTGGATTGGCGCGTCCGACCGCTGGTTTTGGTGGTGAAGATGTGGGCTCAGCATCACTGCATAAACAACGCGAAGAATTCCACCATCTCGAGCTACTCCTTAGTCCTCATGGTGATCCACTTCCTGCAAGTTGGAGTGAATCCCATCATTCTGCCGTGCCTCCATGACATGCATCCGGAAAAATTCAATGTGACTCGCGATCTTCGGACGATAAACATCAATGAGCAGATGAAGTCATTCATTTCGGCCAATCAGCAGACACTCGGGGAGCTCTTCTTGCAATTTCTGCGCTACTACAGCACATTCGAGTGAGTGGAACTGAGCTGGACTTTCGGATGATGGAAGTTGATTTTGTGTGTCTCTTTGCAGTTATTCTCAATATGCAATATCTGTGCGAACGGCATCGTGCTTATCGATTGACTTCTGTCGGATGCAGCGAAGTCCCAAGAATGATCCGCATCAGTGGAAGCATTTGTGCATTGAGGAGCCCTTTGATCTCACCAACACGGCGCGCTCGGTGTACGATAGTGATGTGTTTGAGAAGATCAAGTTCATTTTTCTGCTGTCTTGGCGAACACTGGAGGCAACAATGGATCTCAATGCCATCTTTAAGCCACTCTACGGCTACCCATTTCACTCCATGATCAACCAATAAGGGTCGTGAGGGTGTTTTCTCCGATGGGAAGAAGGAGAAGAAGACTGACCACCACAAAATGTCACTGAGCTATGCATCTCCCATACGCAAAGATAAACAAAAAATGGGTTCAGGTGAGAAAATGGGGGAGTGGAGGAAGATGAGCTCAAGGAAGAAGAAAAAAACGTAAACATTCAGTATTTCTCATTGGCGATAGCGATAGAAGACAGAGGAGATGAAGAGAGGAGGGAGCAAATTCAGAGGAAGTTCTCCATTTTGAGAGGGAGAAATTGAAGATTGAATCAGAAATGCTGAGAGAAATTGATAAATTGTTAGGCTCAACTAGTCGCAAAGCGCCAAACTTAGTATTTTCTTATTGTCACACGAATCGAGCGAAAAAGAGAGAGTTTTTTGTTCTCATAAAAGGAGGGCAGAAGAAGAAATCGAGATATTGTAGTGTAAATGTTTCTGTGAAACTCTATAATAAGACGATAGAGAAGACTTTGTAAGTTAGTAGTATTATAAGTTCGTATAAGCGAAAAAAGAACATTGAGTGTAGTTGAGGTGCCTTTTCACGAAATTTATCATCAAAATTTTTTCAATATTTAACGCTGAATATCAACTATTGGAAAGCGCACGTGAAGGCACTTTGATAGAAAAAGAGACAAAGGCTGTGATTAGCAGTTTTGAACGGAGATATTACTAATATTATTATGTGAATGGGAACAAAGAGCGAGGAAAAAATCCATAAGTCATGGTTTCTATGAGTAAAACATTGAGCTTTCATTGTAGAGAAAAGAGAGAGAGAGAGAAAGAAGAAGATCCATAAAAAAACTATAAAAGATATACAAAAAAAAATTACAAAACCAGTAAAAACCTAAATAAAAAAAGCATTAAAACTTGAAAATAATCCCAACGATTAGCAAAAAAAGAAGAGAGTATTTTGTAAAACATTCGGGCATTTCTTTGTGAAGGTAACTTAAATGATATATGGCTTGAATTAGTAAAAAAAAAAAAATTGTCACTGGAAAATCTCCCCGAGATGTTAAGTTGTAAAGTTGAAGGATGAAAATTGATTGTGAGGTACAGGAAGAAATAAGCTGATATATTCCCCACTTTTGTTCACACATTAAAGCGCAAGAGCATAAATACAGGCCATAACGAAAGACTGGGTGTTTTGTTACTGGCTAATCTATGGTTTATTGGCTTGTTTGAGCAAAAAGAATCACATAAATTGCACTCCAACTTAATACACAGATACAAGAGTTTTCTGAAGAGAGAAAGTCGATACTGGACAGGAATTAATGATATTTTTGTGACTAAACTTACGGAATCTCAGGAGCTTTCTCAGTTCTACAATTCAGACTTGTCTGAGGAAGCGCTGGCGGTGGCCTTGAAGGCCGCCAGGATGTTCATTCGATGCTCCAGGAGGACCTTCTTGCCGGCTGAGACTTTCTTTCCCTGCAGACTCTTCACTCGCTCCCTCTCGGACGCTATGAACTCCGCTCCCTTCTCCAGGATCCTCTGCATGATGGCGATGTACATTCGCCCGGAATTCTCCTCGCCGTTGAACTTCTTCTCCTCCTCCTGGGCATCCTGCAGCACCTCCTGGGCGCTCTTCTCGTCCACAGCGAGAGCGTCCATGAATCTTCCCGCCAGTTGATCGAACTCCTGCAGACACCCGGCGAGGCCAATATAGAGATCAGAGTTGTCTCGCACGAACGCCTTCAGATCCTCGGCAGACACCGTCAGGGCGGATGGTTTGTAGTCAATCCACTTCCTGGGATCATCCCGCTTAATCAGCTTAATCACCGGCAAATCCTTCTCAGTCGCCTTATAGAGTTTCCCCAGTTCTGCATTGTCCTTCTCCCCATAGTCCTTGATGCCCACCAGACCCACCAGCAAATCATCCACGTCTGCAACGTCCAGGGCGAAGCTGGAGAACGCTTCGTGGTTGTTTCCGTACGGATAGGCCACGTCGAACTTCACCACGGTCACCGGAAAGCGGCGGATTAACTTATCGAAGGTGATTTCGTCCAATTCCACACAACCTTTGCACGCCTCCGCCACTCGGGACACTGCCCACAAAGCCACCAGGGCCACTAGGAAGAGATCCTTGAAGTGCATTCTGGATTTCCTGGGAGTTCCCACAGATGCCGGCGTGTCTACCAAAATACTGTGAAGTTGTCAACGATTGCGTCCGGAAGTTTTGCTGTGAACCGGTAAAATCGAGGGGAAATTATGGGGAAATCCTAGGTGGCTGTCAGTTTTTGTTCGCAGAAACTTCAGTGTGGCCGCGGTGACTTCCATCAAAACAGTGACTCATCTCTGCAGTTCACTCTGTGATTTCTCCCTTTCTCTGTTCCCCGTGAAAAGCCCCAAGGATGGAGTGGCTGTTCGGCAAGAAGATGACTCCGGAGGAGATGCTGCGCAAGAACCAGCGTGCCTTAAACAAAGCCATGCGCGACCTGGACAGGGAGAAGATGAAGATGGAGCAGCAGGAGAAGAAAGTGATTGCGGACATCAAGAAGCTTGCCAAGGAGGGTCAGATGGACGCCGTGAAGATCATGGCGAAGGATCTGGTGCGGACGCGACGCTATGTGAAGAAGTTCATGCTCATGAAGGCCAACATTCAAGCTGTGTCGCTGAAGATTCAGACGCTGAAGTCCCAAAACACCATGGCACAGGCCATGAAGGGCGTCACGAAGGCTATGCAGAACATGAATAAGCAACTCAACCTGCCACAAATCCAGAAGATCCTCCACGACTTCGAGCGACAGTCGGAGATGATGGACATGAAGGAGGAGATGATAAACGATGCGATTGACGATGCCATGGAGGACGAGGGAGACGAGGAGGAGTCTGACGCGGTGGTGGCTCAAGTGCTGGATGAATTGGGTCTGCAGCTCAACGATCAACTCTCAGGATTGCCCCAGGTGAGACATTCAGCTCTGAAAGTTCATCAGAATCTCACTCTTTGACGTTTCTTTGAAGGCTTCCGGATCGCTAACTGTGACCGGAATGAAGCAACCTCAAGCAGCGGCTGTGGGCGCTGCCGCTGGCGGTGGGGCTACAGGCGGAGGAGGCACGTCCTCGCCGGTTTCTGATGCAGATGCCGATCTCCAGGCTCGTCTCGACAATCTGAGACGAGAGTAAGAACCTCAGTCGTCCATCTCAGAACCTCCCGGGAGGTCTTATTTTTGTATCAGCGTTACTTTCCCCTTTGTTACTCCTTTCCTTCTGATCTGTACATTATTTGCTATAATAAATACTAGTTTATAGTCATCTGCAAGTTTTTATACCCAAAAACAATTCAAGAAAATCTGGAGGTTCTATCTATTTCACCAGTCGGAAGTAAGTAATTGAGAAAGAGGAATATTATTGGTTAATATTAGAAAGAAGTACAAAAATTTTGTCACTTTCAATTTAATAATTTATTAAAAATATACGAAATTATTTTTTCCTGGACTTCTTTCCTTGCCTCATCCAACAGTGCCGCCAGTTCGACACATTCTCAGCACGCAGCCTTATAATTGTGCAAACCTTCAGAAGACATGCGAAGTATTTATTTATCATTTCAAGGGTAATAAAGACGAGACTATGAAATTAATCAGCAATCATTTATTATAATAATTAAGTTACATAAGAAAAATACATAAGTTTTGTCTTTTTAAATTCAATAATTTATTAAAAATGTATGAAATTTGTGGTAAGAAGATGAATTAAACGTGTGTTCTGATGAGCAACTAAAATGTTTTATTAGGAGTCCCTCCCTATCAGTTCAAGTGTCCCCAGAAAGATGCCACAAGATTATTTTGCCTTTAATTACTTTATTATCGCCTCGTCCGATAGATCTGGCCGCATCTGAAAAAAAAAGAAAGACAGTATCAAAATCTTATATATTAAATTCAATTAGAGCAATTTATCACTTGGATTTTTTATTATTAATTTTTTCATTTTTTATTATATTATTATATATCACAGGAATTTTCACGGGCTTTACACGCCACACCACAATATCACCAAACTTTATTCACAATAATTTAATGATCGCAGTTCACAATGAACCACGTCACCAATTTTATTGTTTTATAACCTGATTTTCTTATTTTGCTACACTCTTCACTCTTATTACACTATTATTTTAACATTCTTCACTCTTTTATAGTTTTCACACAATATTTCACATTTCTTCACTCCTTCTTACACTCTTCTTCACAATATTTTACATTTTTCACTCTTTTTACAATTTTCACTTACATTTTTCAATCTTTTTTACATTCTTCTTCACAATATTTTACATTTTTCACTCTTTTTACAATTTTCACTTACATTTTTCAATCTTTTTTACATTCTTCTACACAATATTTTACATTTTTCACTCTCATTACAATTTTTTATTTACATTTTTGACTCTTCTTTACAATTTTCATTATACGTTTTCACTATTATTCACTGAAATTTTACTTTATACACAGGTTTTTTAACAATTTTACACATTAATTTGAGTTTTCACCATAATTTAGCACTTTTCAAGTATCGAAATTAGTAATGGTAAAAATACTGCACCTGATCAACAGAATAATATGGCCAGAAATGCCAGTTTTGGCCATCGAAACCAACTTCTATATAATATAGATTGCAAAAAATAATCGGCGTAATCATAATTTGTTCAATGTTTTCCATATTTGCTTCTTTTCAACTATTATTTCGGGTTTTTGTTTTTCACGCTATTTTCACGTCTCTTCTCTTCGCTCTTCACTGTACGACTGAGAATTTTTCAGAACTGCACTGATATTTATACCCTCGGCCGACCCGAACGAGCCGAGCACGCCGAGAGCCAATGAGCGCTTTGCGAGCGAGCCGTAACCCTGGCGACGGGCAGTTTTGCAACAATACTGCGATCGCGGATCAGTTTTCGTCGATCCTTCTAGAACATTTTCTAGAAGCTTTTTCTCACTCGATGAAAAGTGCCCAAATTCAGTGTTTTGAGTCAATTTTCCACTCCAGGCACGCGATCCTGTGCAATTTACGCACTTTGCACCTCTGGAACAGGAAGGAACAAGTGGAATTGTGTGAATCCTCGCGTGTTTTTGCCAAGTTTCCGCGCAAGAAAGTCGTTCTGATTGTGTTTGCGTTACCAGTGAGCAAAAATGGCATAGTCCTGATGGCGAAGGATCTGAGCCTGGGCAGGAGTGATCAAGTGAACGTGGGCAGCGTGCAGAGCAGTGCTGAAGCATCTCTCCGACGTGGAAATCAGCGCACGCGCGCTCAAGAAGAACAGCGTTCCGCGGACATGTTTGGCGGATTGGAGGCCCATGCTGTGGCCGGCAGTCGACTTCCTGGCTGTGCAACTCGACTAAAGTTCAGCTCGAGCAGTCTCAGTGGGTCTGAAGATGCCTTTCGCCGCGCACAGCGAGTCGTGCCAGTTTCTCAAGCTCCAATTCTCGATTTGTTTCTTGAATAAAGATCTCTATCCCAATGAAACACGGTGTGGCCATGTTAAAAGACATTTTTTCTTTGCTAAAATATATGGAAGGATCATACATTAAAAGTTGTATCATCTTATTAAAAAGTATCAACCATCTGGACATTTGTTCATTATCCTCTTCTATGTGACTTTCTACCGGGACAGAAGATAAAACTAATTACAATTTATCAGCCACTGCGGCTCATCTCTCAATTATTCGATAAGTTCTTAAAGTCCTGCGTTTGGGTCGTGCTCCGCAGGACCTCCAGCCACCTGTTGTAGGTGTGCTCGCTCTCGGCACGGAAGAAGTACACGTGATTCTTGAACGACAGCTTGAAGACGAAGTCCTTCTGCAAGGCATCCTGCACACCCGGCGGACCCACTGTGTAGCCCAAGAGCGGCAAACTGGCCAGCGCGAATTCGTCCTGGTAGCTCTTGTAGAAGTACAGGCAGAATGACGTGAAGACGACCCACAGCTTCTGCCATCCGGAGCTGTTTTTGAATTTGCGCAGCAAGAAACCCGACAGTTGGTTCTGGAAAGACAGCCAAGGATCATCACTTCCGCCCAATACAGTGCCACGACAAATCAACTCACATTCGCCGCCACGAGGTGATCCTGAAGACCCACCGTGGCTCCACGATGCCAGCACACGTGCAGAGAAGTGTTACTGCGCGACGGCGGCGTCTTCCCCGGCGCCGCGGCTCCGCCAGCATTCAGGCCACACGTCTCCAATCCCTCCTCGGAAGAGCTGCAGTTCTTCAGAGATCCCATCGCAAGCTGAACATGCGGACGCATCTTGGCATCTGTGGACGCCTTGGCCAGTTCAGCCAGCCAGAGTGTCTTCTCGGCCGTCGTGCCGGCACTCACAGTTATCGCTCGCTGGCCACCGAAGATCACAAAGGCGTTGTGCTCCGCATTCTCCGTGAGCAGCGATCGCAGCGGAACATGCCCCAAAATCTTGAATGTCTGGTTCACTTGGCTCTTGCTGGCGTACAGCAGAACATCTGAGAACTGAAATGGAGAAAGCAATTAATTGACGCTGACTCTCTGACCAGGAACCGTACAGTACTCAACTCACCAGGAAGAACATCCTCTGCTGAAGTCCTCTCTTGGAATGTTTCAGCAAACACCCTTGCCTGATGAGCTTCCGACCGGGCTGTACCAGCTGATCGAAGCCCAGCAAATCCCTCTGCAGCTCACACAGCAGCACGTAATTCTCACTGTCCGGCAGCAAACTGTTCACCGTGTCCGTCGTGCGTCCCAGCATCATCAGCGCCCCGTGGCAATCTGTCCGGTCGAAGTGATCATCTCCATAGTGGTCCAACAGACGATCCAGCAGCAATTGATAGTGCAGCAGCCGATGGAAGGGCTTCAGCAGGAGATACCCAACCGGCACGTAGCACACCTTCTGCTGCTCAAACTCCCTGTACACTTGCTGGAAGCGCTCGTCGTGATCAAATGCGTCCACAAGGTGATGCAGAACATCTCGGTGCGCCTCCAAGTACTCCTCATACAGAGGCAACACCACCATGTTCTTCAGCATCACATCTCCAATCCTGTGAGTCTCGTGCGTTCCGCGGCCCTCCCACAACACCAGCCGATGTTCCAGGTCACGCAGGAAGACGCCGTGGTGCTGAATCATGGCCTCCAGGAGTTGAAACAGCGGCTGCATGGCCTCCACATCGTCCGGCGACAATTCCTCACGGAACCACGTATTGAGGACGTCCAGGTCGCGCTTGTATGTGCGCTCTGTCATCAGGAGTTCCTTGGCCAGGAAGTATGCCTTATCTGTGGGCCAGCGCTTCCTGCGCGCCTCCCCACCATCTTGAGACTCCAGCGTGGCCGAATTGCTTCCACTTCCACCGTTCGTGTGTCGGGAATTGTTGTTAGCATTCACATAGTTGGCATTCTCCTCTTCAATCTTCACTCGGATTTCCGCTTGCTCTGCAAAAAAATCGATCATTTCGTCAATGAAAACAACACGACAGCTTTTCGATATTACAGAAAAAGTATGTTTTTGAATCATGGATACTCACTGATGTCATAACTGCCAGTGTCTCTCTCAGAATGCGACAAAGATGAGGATTTATCCGATCCCAGAGACAAATCGTAGCGATTAGTGAACTGCGGAACTTCACCTCGGCGATCCAGCGACACGTTTCCGTTGATTCCGTGGTAAGTGTCTGCAAGCAAGGATTACAAGTTAATGAACAATGCCTTTCAATAAGTGTATTTTACAAGAACAAACTATCTCTAAGCTACTGAAAAACTGAAAAAATATCAATTAAGAATTCCACATAATGTCAAATGTGCTGAAATAAAAACCGAATCCATCTCGATCATGTTGAAAACCTTATTAACAGTAAAACTATAAACATACAATAAAAAAAATCATATAGAAATACTATTAACAAATCATGCGATCATCTTAGAAAAAATATGTACATTGAACATTTGAGGAAAAATCGTTCAAAACTTACTCTTAAAAATCCACCATTTGCAAGTCTGATAAACTTTTTGAAAAATCAGTGTAAAAATAATGCAAAAACTCAAAGGAAAACATGTAAAAATTACAGTGAAATTCGTTTTTTCCATACGATTTTATTATGTGGAAGATTTTATTATATGGTAGATTTCAAATACTTTTCCTTTATCCATCCGTTATTCATCATCTTAAATTCATGCTCTATACTTCTGTTTATCCAATTAACACGAGATAATTTCCTATATAATAGTTAATGACTTAATAATGACTCTGGGTGATTATATATAATATTTTCTTTTGAATTTCTCATATCTCTACTCCCGTCTTTTTATTCCTCTCCGGGGAAAGGCATAGATTATCCACAATAAAAAGGTGTGAAGGTGATAAATATCAACAAAAAAGAGAATCTTTGATTCTTCCATCAACGCTTTTCCGATCTCCCCAAACAATTTGTACTCAATAATTTATATCCTTTTAAAATATCCATCTCTAAACAACAATATTGATTCAATTTCATTTATATTCACTGATTGATTGCAATAACAGGTATAAATTTTGCATCATCTAATTGGCACTATTCTTGTCTCTTTTCAATAGCTATAATAACTCTTATTTGGTTTGGTGTCTTTTGGAAAATCCCTATAAATTATATTTGACACAGAATAATCTTTTAGTGAAGAAGCATTTCAAACCGAAATTTTTGATTCGACACACACACACAAAAACACGTCTTTTGCCATTTTTTCTTTTTTACTTCTCTTCCTTATCTTTGATGCAATTCATTTGAAAATTGTAGGCCAATTCATATCAAATTAAGAGAAAAAATTTGACACATTGAAATGGAAGAAATATGTTTTAACAATTACATTTTCACTAAATATTTTAGCTATTATTATAAATATTTTTTTAAATGCATTCCATTTCTTATATTTTTTTTCTTTAAATACCACTTCGCTTTTTCCTTCATCGCATTTCATTGTATTTCTACCAACTATTTCTTATATTCTTCTCATAAAGTATTTTAATATCTTGCTCAAACTACGTTTTCTCTCTCGATTCTTTTTTTTTAATAAACATTATGAGGTTAATATTAGGTGTGTGTATATTCTTTGTATAATTTCTATAACAAAATGGTAAAAACATGAAAAATATCTGAATTCAACACTCACGTCGTATTCTTAAACCACACATTAAACCGAGTCTCATCATTGCAGCTCTCAATAAATCCCATCCTTCTTCTTACTATGTTCTTCTAATTATATATATATATATATATATAGCTCTTGATAGTGACAGGGAAAAAGTGGTGTTTATCAACTATTTGAGAGAACTTTTCACACTACCATAAAATACTCTCTTAAATGACTCGTTTTTCTTTTTTTCTTGTGTGCAGATTTAAATGCTTGGCATTGAACGATGTGTTTGTAAGAAAATCTTAATACTGATAGAGAATTTGGCTCTGTCGTCACATAATTCCTAACCTTCTTCACGATCCTTTTCTTTTCTCTGAAGACGATGGAATAGAATAAAGGCGCTTCAGCCACATTGTCGAGCGGGGGAAAGCCAGGGAATGGGGAATGTGTCCGAATGGAAGGGTTGTTCAGTCTTGGATTAGTGAATCTGGGGATGCTCGTTGGGAATGGTGGGATGTCTAGTTGTCACTCAAGTCCTCAGAGTCGCCGAGAAACATCGGAGGCGGCACAGTTCGCATGTCAAACTCCGATCCATCGTAGCTCTTCTCCGACTCCCCAGACTGACTCGTTGGCGGCTGGACACGCGGATAATCCACGATATCTTCGTGATCGGACAAAAAGTCCGGATATGGCAGTTCAACTTTTCGTTGCACGTGAATCTGGGTGGAGAATCCGGCGGCAAAGCTGTCCTCGCTCGAGTAGTAAATGTCCTCTGGGAAGGGAACTTCCGGACTCACACCCTCGAGCGCATATTCGGGCCGCCGACGTGATGTACTGGGCTCTGGAATGCCAGCATTAGAGTCCTCTCGCCTCAGCTGGCGCTTCCTCTGACGCTGAGGTTTAATCGGAGGCGTGGAGGAAGTCGCCGGATGCTCTTGTGGCCTGTACATGGGCTTCGTGATGTGTCCCAAGCGATCGTACTTCGGGAAACCCATCTCATCCACATTCCCTTCAGTCATGTCGAGACTCTCAAACCTCGTGGAGAAACTTGTGCCGGGATACGACTCATATCGCACATATTCCTCCTCATCCTCTTCGGGAACACCAACATCTGGTTCCTCCTCAAAATACCTCACATACTCATGCTCACAATATTCCCGCTTCGACATATCCGAGCTACCCGAATCCACCTCCTGGAAATATCCTTCAGAGCATTCTGAACTCTCTTGCTGCTCCAAGGGCACCCGATCCAGACGAGTCCTCTTCGCCGGCACCTGCTTGCGCTTCCTATAACCCCGAGTCCTGAACTTCGGATCCTGCTGACGGAAGTCCAGAGAGCTGTCCGTGTCATTGCCACTCGGAGGACTCTTGGGCATCACGCGCGGCCCTGAAGACTTCCTCGGCGGCTTCTGCAGCACCTGAATGGGCGGTGATTCCGAGCTCAAGCTACTTGAGTAGTACGGTGAGCACTGAACCAACTTCCCAGGACGAGATGGCATGGGTGATGAATTATCCGTACTCGTTGTCTCACTGTTGTGCGTTGTGGTTGACGAACTGAGTTTCTCCTCTTCGATTTTGGGAAACTCAGCAGATTCGATCATGTGTTCGTGGAATGATTGACTCTGCCTCACCTTAGAGGACTTATACTCGCGAATCTGACTCTTAGACAGAGTCTTGTCATCGTAACTGTGATGCTTTATCAGGGGCTTGTCGAAAGGACTGGGTTCACGGGACAAGAGGGCCTTCAAGCCTCCGCCACTTTCTGGCTGTTCCTCAACAGGGGCGAGAACACGTGGAAGATTCTCACTCTCAGAAGCAATGTCCTGACTCTGATATCGCTGCGACATCAATTCCAGCGCCTTCCTCTTCGATGCCACTGAAGAGTCTGCAACAGCCTTCCGGAAATGAGGTTTTGCCTCCATATCAACAATCCTCGGCGGCGGATAACCCACTTTCTGGGGCTTTTCCTCCGGCGGACTGCTTTTCAACCTTCCCACATCCTTTTCATCGGTCGGAGGCGATTGCTTCTTCACAACTTTAGGCGGTTTCAGCGGCATGTATTCAATGGAGAGCGTTTTCTTGTCCATTTTGTACTCCGTCGCATAGTCGGGGTATTCTACACCGCCAACAAGTGTCTTGCTACTGCTCGTCGACCACTCAGTGATGGACTGTGCCATCTCTGTGAGAGTCAGAGTGGTATCATCGCTCTTCGTTGTGCCTGAAGAGATTTCAGAATTGGAAAACACTTCATATTTGGCACCTTCAGCTGATGCATTATCACAAGAGAACTTACTCTTGCTCCCAGACAAACTCGCACTCTTCTCATTCAGACTCTCTGTGGATTTATTGATAGAACTCACACTGGACTTGGTGTGATTAGACTTTTCACTCCTCGCTCCTGTTGAGTGATTAGAAACTGCAGATAAACTATCACTTCCCGATAGATTAGCATATTGCCGCACTGTGTTCGTTCCTGTGGACCATTCTGAGATGCTCAGTCCAATAGAAGTGTCCTCAGAGTGCGAGCTGTGAGTGCATTTCTTCTGCTGAAGACCCATCTTCACAGTCCCATCCAAATCTGTGCCCAGAGAACTTGTCTCTTCCTCCGAATGACTGCTGTGGCTGCATTTCTTGCACGAACCACTGCTGAGTCGTGGTTCAAGATTCCTCCTCACGGTTTCCTCCAAATAAGTCGATCCTGACAGGATGTCATCAAGCGAAGTGTCTGAATTATTTGATCCCCTCGATATTTTATCCGTCAGAATGTCCGATAAGCGAGTATCATCTGGAGAAATCTCAATTTTCACCGTTCCCGGACCAAAGACATCATCTGCCAGTCCAAAGTCATCGTCCAAAGAATTTGGACTCTGATTCTGAGGTGTTCTTGTTGGCTGTGAAATTATCACTTTGTCGCTGGGATGAATATCCTTCGACGAGGTGAAAGTATTCCTCGAACTGCACGTCTCGATCGTGCTCCTGAGACACGAGGCTGTGCCAAAAGTGCTGCTCAGACAAGTCACAGGTTCACTAGAGTAATCTTCTGCAGTCATATAGGCTGTCTCTTCATAGGGAAGCACCACAGAGATTGTTGGTGATTTCTGCAAGTCCTTGGATAGCTGATCTTCTTCATTTAGTGTCCTATTCTCACTGTCATCGTGATCATCCGGAGTGTGATCCGTAAAGGAGTCCACCATCACTTGAGTCGCACTCTGCGGTTCACTCAAATAGAATGTCTCAACGCTCTCCACAATAGGAGTCTCCAGATCGCCACTGTCTGGCGGCGAGGGCCAATTCTCAGAGTCTTGCGACTGCATTGACATGCTATGTCGCCATCCGAATGTCTTCGGAAGTGGACGATTGTCAGTCACTGGTACCTTACCCACTGGCACGTGATCGTAGGGAATCTCCGGCAGAGGCCAGTCCTCAGAATCCTGACTCCCGGCATTGGAGAAGTCCAGCAAGGTTGGTCGTTGTCCCGCCTTCACTCTCTCATCCTCCACATTCGTCGCCGCAAATCGTCCTGTCTGTCTACCACTGGAGGAAGAGCTTCCTCCCCCTCCAGCTG